CACATAGAGTTTATTTCTCTGTTAAATATATTTATACATTTTAAATAAGCTTCTTTCATTAGGTTAAATACATTTGTTATTTAACCTTTATCTAGTAAGTTATAAAAACTGCCCTCTTTTGCAGTGGAAACTGCTTAATTTTGAAGCCTCTTTCGCACTCCCCAACTTCTCATGGCTAATCCTCCACCATCAGTTTCCCCTGCTAACCAGCAATGAAAAACCCCCGATAAAGTCACCTTTATTTGTCAGTCTTAGGCTCCCCTGAGTCAACTGTCAAGTCCTTCCTTTTGAGGCACGTTCCTTTGCCTTTCACACAATCCCGAAGCGTTAAACCGCACACACCTATCACGACCATGATGATGTTCCCTTTCTTATTTTCTTATTTTTTGTTTTTGTTTTTGGTGCTGTTTTTGTTGTTCCACCGTGCGGATGGCTAAGTGAGCCATTTATCTTCGCTGGAACCTCAAGCGCGACATAACAGCAATACCAACAACGCGGACTACAACAATCACTTCCTACAGGCGTCATCCAATCCTCAATAATACCGCTTTCGAAATAAAACGATTTATATGGCGCAACAACAAAATGCCAATAGAGGTGCACGCAGAACAGGAATCGAAATTACACGTAGGGAAAAATTTATTTAATTACTATAAAGGTAAATAACGAAATTCCTTTTCAATTATTAATGTATTTACAGCTTTACTTCAAATTCGTATAAATGTTTTGGTTGTGCTGCCAATTAAATAGAAATAGTTTCTATTGTGGATACACCCTCTTTATATTTTTTACCAGTGTATCACTGTTACTAGAATCCTGTCGAATATTCCTTTTTCCCGTTTTATTCGGCCTTATCCAGACCAACATCAATCGAACAGCCGCAAAAGCAAGTAGTAAATGAAACCCCTGTTCAAAAAAAAAAAAAAAAAAGAGAAACCGAAGTAAAATCGAAGATTGCTATCTTTGACGGCTTGTTTTCCTGCCCATTCTGCCCGGTCAGTGGGCGGGGGGCGTGGCAGCTATTATGTATTGGCGTTGAAACAATTTGAACAACAGTCGTCGCCGTCTCCGAAGGAGGGAGACACAGGAAAAAAAAAAACAAATGAAAGGAAGTCGTTTAAAAGTACAAACGGACATTATTTATCGCTCAAACCATTTAGCCGCAGAAACTACCCAAGAATAAGAGCCAAAAAACAGGAAAAGGCCACGAGGAGCAAATCCGAATGCGAATCCGAGTCCAAGTCCTCAGGAACCCACCCACTTGTCCACCTCGTGTTGTTGTGTCTACTTAGTTGTAATAAATGGAAAAACGCAAAGAGCGAAGAGTCCTCGCCACAATGCGTTGCATATAATTTCTATTCGAGTTTCGGTTGGTTTCAGAGGGTGAATGAGGTGGATTGAGCCGGACCAGCAATTGGATTTTAGGATAGCGACTAAGGGCAATCGATTGATTTCTGCTTGCTTAAGCAGTTTTCCCAATAAGTAATTTACAGTTGTCATTAAGTGGGAAAACATTTGGGTGTTTTGGGGCAGAGGAAGTGCGTGCGGAAAGTTGGTCGAGATGGACTTTTGTTTTTCGAGTACAATTGTTGGAAAGAACGTATGGTTAAAATAATGGTAAAATCAATGAAACAAGATTATAGCGTCGTTGTTTTTTTATCGAACAAGCATGTTTTAGTTAATTTTTTTTGACAATTTTTTTTTTTAATTTTCATGACACAACCTCCTTTGAAAATTTCAAAAATTGGGATTTCTGAAAAATGATCAAAATTCACTAATTCCAAGTCCATAACTTTTCTAAGTTTAATCTGATTTCGAGGTGGCATACCTCTAAAAGTTTCTATTTTAATTCTCTTACCAACTGCATCATTACAAAATTTTATAAAAATGTTAATAAACAATGTCATCATCATATAATATGACAGATAATGTTATTTCAAACAAAAGTTGTAATAAATTAGAAGGTGTATTCTTATGCTTCTTTAAATACGAACCAGACTATTCAAATTCGTCTGCTCCAACACCTTTCTATTAGCACATCCATCCCAGTGGAACCCTCAACATTGGTCCTTTTTTGAATGTGTCACATGGAACAGAGTTGCGAAATCCTTGTTCAGATCCGCAGCTAACCCCCGAACCCATAATCCCGCAGACAGCCAGAGAAACCGGGAGTGAGCAGCTGAGTTCTGGAGCAAGGGGAAGAGTCAGCTAGCCACGGGCATCTTATCGCCCTAAACCACTTTAGTGTCAGTCCCGCTGACAGCGGTCCAACCTCGACTCGTGAACATTGTCGCCTTTTTGCTTGGAAGCTGGAATGAGTCGGGGATTCCGCTGGAGTCCACTGTTGTCTCTTAACATGGCCAGTGGTCTTGTCGACATTGCGATAACAAAACACACAAACCCATACAGAGGAAAAGATACGAAAAAAAAGGAATTTTACGCTCTTGGCCATAATGAGGGTGATTTTCGTATTTGTGGTAGATTTGTCCACTTAGCAGGAATGACCAGGCCGAGGAGCAAAGCTGTTGCAATTTGCTGGCAAATCATTTGTACATTTCCACAGTGGATTACGGTTTTGCCGGCTTCTGTTCCCCAGCCACCGATTCCTGATTCCTGATGATAATGCTCATAATTTGTGAGGCCTGCATATATTTTTGGGCACTTTTTTTTAGGCCATGATATATGCGCCAGCATGCTTCAACCATGATTTGTGCTAATGAGTGAGAAATGGTGGGTGGGTGTCCGTTTTCGTCTAGGTTTTCATGGGAAAATCCGAAAACGAAACCGAAAGCTGGACAGATTCTTGCATTTAATTGGCATTTTTATGCGCGGAGTTAGGGGGAAAGTTTTTTAATAAAGACCCAGTCGAAATAAAACCAAACCTCTCTTCATTCCAACTCAGTTGATTTTCATTTTCATTTGCCCATTTAGTCAGCGACCTCAAGTGCGGGTTTTCGACCGGCATTCCGGCATTTTGTCTCCCTCGGTGTGCACACAGTTGTCTACGGATTTTCAATATTATTTGCTGCAGTCTTCCGATATACAAAAGTCCCCTTTCCCCCCAAACCCGACCATCTGCTACCATCATCTTGGGTCTCCATTGTGGGTGTGAAATCGTGGAAACGAACGAAAGCGAACGCTGACTGACTGCCGCTGTCAACGGGAGCCAAACGAACTCATTGTAACCGCCTTCAATTGGGCATTTTATTTTATATTTGAATTTTAAAATTCCTTCCGCTTCGGCGACAGGCGAAAGGGCCACAGGAAAATGGACAATTTGTGTTTGTGGCAATTGATTGGCAAATACTGTCCGGCCAAATGGTTGAGGCGAAAAGGTTTGCTGATTAATTCGCAGTGACAGCAAGTCAGAGTTAAAGGAAAAAGGGTCTCTCATCGGGAAAGGTACTTGAAGAGGAAAATATATTCAAAAAGCGCTGTCAATGCAGAGGAAAGTATTTTAGTTTTGGATAAACTTTAAACAGTTTATTCAAGAAAGATTTTTAATGTTAATTGATCTTTGCCTGGTTTAAATTTATAGATATTAAACAATCTAGAAAACCCTTATGCTTCTCAGATAATCCCTTAGGATAAGTTGAGTCATGCTAACCGATTAAACTCGTAAGAAGTTCCTTAACTCCCCATAGCAATTCATCCATAGCCGCACGCTCCATTTGAGCGTCTTAAAGTCGGCGATAAAAGCAGAAACTTGCTCAATGCCAACTTGCATGCAAATTACAAGCAATAAAACGTGGCACATTCCAATGCTTAGGCAAACTTCTGCCACAAGGCTCCCGAGCCCGAGGAGATTATTCTTTATTGTTTAGAGAATGACAGAAACAAGAAGCAGAGGGACGAGAGTCCTTGTGGCAATTCGCACATCATGCGATTGGCATTGAGATTGCGACTTGGTATCGGGCAATTCCCAAAGCTGTCATATGCGAGGACAACAAACACACCCGACTCGAGGGATATGCAAATTTGTCATCCAGTAAACCAAACAGAGAACACATATAAAGGAGTGAAATAATCATAAAAACGTCAGGCTCAGTCGGTTGGTGGGGCGAAAGAATCCTGAATTGAATTTTTATCTATTGTATTGGCAATAAAGTCACATTGTCACAGCATGTATAAAATGATTATTGTTTACTCTTCCCCACTCTTTGTGTCCATTCCCTTTTTTTGAGGAGGAGAAATGGCAAAAAGTTGAGGTACGGGCTCAACCGGGATTTGAACCCGGGACCTCTCGCACCCAAAGCGAGAATCATACCCCTAGACCATTGAGCCGCTTAAGAGATGGTTGAAAATTTTTTAATTTTTCAACTTAAAAAAGCGTAGAAAATTTGGTTCACCTTTAGGCCATCTAAATACTCGTTCGGAATGTATAATAGGTGATTTTATGTCACTGAAATGAGGGTTAACCGGTTTCAATCGTTTCTTTTACGTAAGCTGCATGAATGCATAATTTGGCTTAAAATAGTTAACCCATTCAAGTTTTAGTTGTGTTAACATTAACATTAAACTTTAAAAATAAAACATTTCAAAGTTATATTTACATATGAATATGTTATATTTGAAACATCTATTTCAAAATATCGGATGGCAATAATGTATATTCAAACACATCTGGTGATCATATGGTAATAGAAGATTAAAAATGAAATTATGGTTTAAATAATGTATCCCTCTAATTAAAATTGCTTCCCATTGCCTATTAAAATTTGAACACTAAATTAAAATAATAATAATATGTTTAATTTAATGCTGTTCGTAAGGGGTTAATTGTGATGGAACTATTGAGCCCTTTCAAGTTTCTTGTAAGGCCCTCGAAATCGCGTCAATTTATGAAGGGGATGTAGCTCAGATGGTAGAGCGCTCGCTTAGCATGTGAGAGGTACGGGGATCGATGCCCCGCATCTCCAGTTGGTTTCCTTTTTTTCCATCAGATCCCCATTTTATTTTTATTTAATTAGAGCAAAATAAAAGGTTGAACTCCAACTTACCCTCATCAGCATATCGCTGATTTATTGACTTTTAAACACTGCAGTTGGCTCCCATTATTTTTCGTAGCACGGCAGCTGACTCATCAAATTTTGTTTTGTCTCCGGCGCTTTTGGCATGCTTTTAATTTAATTTGAAAAGTTTTGCATGCCCATTTGGCACATTTAACCCCTTGCCTAGCTTGGGGCCGCCCAAAAAAGAAAATAGACGAAAAAAATGGAAAGGAATATCATAAATAATGATGATAACTGTCTAAAGTTTTCAGGGCATGCTTTGGTACAAATAGCCACTCCCGACGCCCACACTAAATGCAATTAACTGGACAGAGGGAAAAACAGAGAAGAAAAATATGACAATTAGGCGCGAACTAATTGATGGTGGCAGGGGAAAATTACAGGGATTAGAAAGGACCAATAAAAAATTTAATTGGATATTTAAGGGAAGCAGGAAAATTTATTTCAAGATGATATAAAGTTTGGTAAATGTAAAGAAAGTTGTTTCTCAGGCTTCGAAATAAATTAAAGCAGATTTCAAAAGTGTTTTAAAAACTTCGCTGATATTTTCTATTTTAGATCTCAAAATTTGTTCCCCAACATATTTCATCTTATCTAGCCAGATATTCTTTCTACTACTTTTTTAAAGCTTTTATAACAGCCCCACCCATTTGGCACATTTCTTTCTCTAGCACTTTTTTGTTCTTTGGCTGGCTCAAGTTTTTGGTCGTTATAAATCACAAGACTGAATCCATCGGAGATTTATGAGCTGCTAAATATGCTGGCGAAACAACAGGCGAATATCGCAGCCTGGACATTTTAGCCAAAAAACTTTGTCCACCTATCAAACTTTAAACGCAATTATCATATATGTATGTATGACAGATGGATGTATATATATGAATATCCTGTGGTGGAGTCTGTGTTCTCCTTCTGTGTTGTTTTTTACTTGCGCAGATAAACAAAACAAGGTCCTAAATAAACAAAATGAGAAAAAGAACGAGCAGAAAATAAGTAAAAAGTTGCACCAGACAAAAATACAATTTGATTTTAATTGAAAAACAGCAAGAACAATGTATGTAAGCCCGAAAATGGAAAATAAAGGTGCAAAATGGATGGAATATGTCTGAGCATGTGAAGGATAGATAACTGAGGAGGATATGTGATAAATACAATTAGTATTTCAAGACCAGAATTTTGGTTGGATCATTTTGGATTCAGATGTGTAACCTTTGACATCAAATCTTTTATAAATTTATCCAATTAAGTGCAAATACTCTTAGTCACCTTTTGATCCTTGTTTTCACCTCAGTGTCCTTAACCCAACCGCACTTAAAATGCCATTAACAAAGGCACAAACAATTTTTACACTTTGCGTGCCAAGAAGAGCAACTAAGGCAAACAAAAACAACAAACTAACCCCACAAAAATAAGAGCAAGCCAAATAACAACAACACTCAACACTCCTACCAAAATAGCAACAAACTGAATTTTCTTTTTATTTATTTTTTCAGCAACTTTTTACCTTTTTTCCAACTCATTTTCAAGTGTTTCCACTTAGTTGGCTGTTGTTGTTGGGCAAAGCCATTAGGATGGGACAGATGGGGTCAGAGAGTTGGGTCCTCGGCAATCTTGATGGGGTTAGCATTGTTTTTGTTGCCTTAAGTCAACAAGGCCGGGGGTTAATGAAAGTTGGCTTGAAAGCTTCGAGGTTGCTTCACGGTTTGCTGCTTAAGTTGTTGCAATACCTTGGTGAGCAAAAAAGGAGAAAGGAAGAGAGTGTGTAGATCTGGGGATAATATTTAAATGGTTTCCTAGTTATAACCATTTTATTTTAGACAAAAGTATTTATATGTCTTAGCTTAAATTGTTTATGGATATCCTCCATAATTTTTTCCTCCATAATTTTATCGTAGTTTCCGTGGTGTAGTGGTTATCACATCCGCCTAACACGCGGAAGGCCCCCGGTTCAATCCCGGGCGGAAACAGGTAATAATTTATTTTACTGAGTTTAAATTGAACTACTTACCAGTACTTCGTATAAGCCAACTACAGTCGAATCCCGATAATTCGTACCCCGCTAAATCGAAAATCGCGATAATTCGTAAAAAAAACTCTGTTCCCTTGAAAAAAATCCCTTAAAAAAAATCTCGATAAATCGAATTCCCGTCTAATTCGTAAAAAAGTGATCCCCTTGCCATTTCGAATTATCGGGACTCGACTGTAATAGATTATCCATCCATAAGTTCGTTTGTATAAATTTTTTTTTAATTGGACCAGTGATATATACATACACTGCCCCGCAACTGAATAGGTTCATGATCTCAGAGGAAGTAATTTGTCTATAACTTCTAAACCAGTGTACCGATTTCCAAAATTTTTTTTTTTTAACTCTTGAATCATTTTATTATAAAATGCTGAAGAAGGTTTTTCAAAAACATATTATTTATTCCTTATTTAATTTATTCTTCTGAAAGGTTAACAAAATGCATGATTTTTTTTTCGGTCATCTGAATAGGTTCAACCTAAAACAATTAAAATTATTTAAGTAACTAAGGATAATATTCATATTTTTTGAACTTAGCTGATACTTATGAACATTTTTAAAGTACATTTTACTAATTTTAATAAAAAGTGAACCTTCCGTTGTCCGATATAACATCATATACACGACCGGGAAGCGAGCTATACGAATTGTGCAGTATTTGCAGTGAAATTGTTGTCCAGGCTATTTTAAGTGCCTTAACTAAAGTTTTTTGCAATAAAATTACCTGCCTCCTTCATATATCTTGCGCGATAGCAACCCCTATACGATTTCGATTATATTAAGGTCAGGTGAATATGGGGGCCATTCAAGTAAATCCACATTTTGAGCCTTAATCCACTCTTTTACCACCCTAGCTGTATGATGGGAGCGTTATCGTACTGGTAAGACCATTTGATAAAGTGAAAAGTACTTAAATAATCAGGAAACGCAGCCTTTATGATAGATTTGTAGGTTTCCGCGCTCGTTTTGCAAGTAACAAATTAAAGGTCGCAAGTGCCAAAGACTGATACCGACTCCCACACCTAAATCAATTTAATTTAGAAGCGTAAATCAATAGCTACAACTATTATTATCACGATCTTCGAAAGGAAGAGCATTTCCTTAGCCGTCGACATAGCTGTGAGGGTGGGGTAATGGTGTGGGGGTCGGTATCAGTCTTTGGCACTTGCGACCTTTAATTTGTTACTTGCAAAACGAGCGCGGAAACCTACAAATCTATCATAAAGGCTGCGTTTCCTGATTATTTAAGTACTTTTCACTTTATCAAATGGTCTTACCAGTACGATAACGCTCCCATCATACAGCTAGGGTGGTAAAAGAGTGGATTAAGGCTCAAAATGTGGATTTACTTGAATGGCCCCCATATTCACCTGACCTTAATATAATCGAAATCGTATAGGGGTTGCTATCGCGCAAGATATATGAAGGAGGCAGGTAATTTTATTGCAAAAAAACTTTAGTTAAGGCACTTAAAATAGCCTGGACAACAATTTCACTGCAAATACTGCACAATTCGTATAGCTCGCGTCCCGGTCGTGTATATGATGTTATATCGGACAACGGAAGGTTCACTTTTTATTAAAATTAGTAAAATGTACTTTAAAAATGTTCATAAGTATCAGCTAAGTTAAAAAAATATGAATATTATCCTTAGTTACTTAAATAATTTTAATTGTTTTAGGTTGAACCTATTCAGATGACCGAAAAAAAATCATGCATTTTGTTAACCTTTCAGAAGAATAAATTAAATAAGGAATAAATAATATGTTTTTGAAAAACCTTCTTCAGCATTTTATAATAAAATGATTCAAGAGTTAAAGAAAAAAAAATTTTGGAAATCGGTACACTGGTTTAGAAGTTATAGACAAATTACTTCCTCTGAGATCATGAACCTATTCAGTTGCGGGGCAGTGTACATACTTCCCCTTCTTCAAATACTAAATGTGTTATCTATAAATATCATTTAAATATATTTATAGCTGCATCATGGCCTTAAACTTATCGCGTTGTTTTTGCTTCAAAGCCTCGTGTTTCTTGCGTTCAACATTTTTGATTAGGAACTCTTGGAATTTCCTACGCATGGCCAACGAAAGGCCTGTATTTCTTAGGTCCAATTTCTCGAGAACTTTATTGCAACTAATGATCTTCATTAGGTGCTTGCCAAAGTCCTAGAACAAATTTGTTTAGAAAGGGTTGTATTAAGCATTTTGAAAAACCCACCTCTCCCAGAGAGTTATTTGATAAGTCTATGTCCAATAATGTGGTGTGCTGGCAAATAAGCATCATGAACAATTTTGTTATGGTTTCGGTAATGCCACAAGTTCCCAAGTCCAGCTCTTTAATGGGCATGACCTGAAGGGTATTGAAGATCGCAGCAGCACCATCACTTTGAATGGGATTCAAGCGCATGATTAATTGTTGGAGGGGTACATGTCTTAGTGTGCGACTCAGGATGTAGGCACCTTCTTCAGCTGAAAATGAATCAAAATTAAATATTATAAATATTTACTACGAAATCGGTTAACCTACTGATCTTATTGTTGGTCAAATCGAGGACAGTTAGAGTGCCAAAGGACTCCTTGCCGCAGGTCTCTAAGAAGCATCGTATTCCCGCATCCCCCACCGCACAGTGGAGCAAGGACATCTCGGTCAGATGGTGGCATCCCTTATCCAGACTGCGGGCCAGGAATCGCAGTTGATACGGCATCAGCTTCGTGTTGTGCAGACTGAAAAGCGATGAAATTTCAGAAAATACAATTTGGAGAACCCATTCCTCACCAGAACTTCCTCAACTCGTGGCACTGGCTGAGTCCCTTGGTCAAATGCAGAATATCCTTGACAGTCAACTGGTTGCAACCCATTTGGTAATTGCAGCCGGCCGTCTTGGTGCTGTAACTCAGTCGCAGTTGGCGTAAATCCGGCAGATTGCTCAGCAGGTAATCAAGTGGAATGTGATCTGCAGATGGTTGGAAAAACTTGTGAATAAAACGAAGCATATATGCTCTTAAATAATTAAAATAATTTAAAATTCACTTTAAAATGTCTCATAAAGAGTTTAGTTTTTTTTCAGTATGAACAATGTTGTGTCAATAGTAAATATTATTGAAATTGAAATAATTTATTTTCATGTTAATATAAAAACTATTCGATTGAAAAATAGTAGAATAAAGCATTCGGATAGCAATAATTAATTTTGTAATTTAAGGGTATGTTATACTCTTACTCACCATTTGCATCGGTTGTGGGCGGGGCGGGCTGAAGGAAACTTATATCCAACTGATTTATGTACGCCGCGCAGATGTCCAGGACGACCTGCACGTTGCCTTCCTGCTCGTAGTCGGCCGTCGGCAGGTTTTCAATAAACTCCTGAACATGTCGCTCCATGTAGATGTTGATCCAGGGCCGCTCCCTGCCCCGCGCCTGAATTGGGGCGCTCCGCCATCGATAGCCGTAGCAGCGCTGCCAGAAGAAGTCCTCGCGGATGTGGGCGCTGAGCAGCTGCAGCGGCAGCTGGGTGTCCAGGTGGCTCAGGAGGTAGTTGCGGTCCTCCCGTCGCTTCAGCTGGCGGTACAGCGGCAACTCTGCGGATGAGCAATATTTGGATAGTTTCAGAATCGAAGGTGCCTTTGGTTTTGGCTACCATATTATTTAAACTACTTAAATAATATCCAGAAAATTTACAACAATTAAAAATTATATAAATTTAATATAAAAAGTAATTGTAACTAAATTTAACGTTTGAAAATAACTCTAACAATTATTATTTTCTGCAAAAGTGTTGTCACGTGTACTAGCTATTTTTTAGCCATATGCTCACCACTCCAGTTCTCAACGATGGCATCGAGCACAAGATGTCGCAGACTTTTCGCTTGATTTGCCTGGCCCTCCTGGACTTCTTGGGGGCTCTGGATTGTGTCCAATGATTTACATCCGACTTTGGGCAACTTGACATCGGTGAGATTGAAGTAGGCCTTGAAGGTGTCAATGGAAACGGTGCTGGGGAACTCGCAGTACGTGAAATCCATTTGAATTAATTCAGTTAGTTTCTCGAAATTTGCAAACTGCAGATAGTGATACAGTTAAAAGATAAATAATGTTTTTCAGTCCGGCTTTTTGGCTGCCAGGAAACGGTTGTCAACGAAGACCCTTTGTTGATTTTCGAAGTGTTGAAGAAGGGATGGTATTTAAAATGAGGGGAATTTTTACAAACTAGTGTTAGGTAAATCGTTTTGCATTTATCTTAACTTCTTGTATATACATATTTAAATATACATATATTGAGTTTAAATAATATTTGAAGTTCGCCTAATTCCACTTCTTAGCCTTGAAAAATGAAGAAAACAGAACATTCCCTGTTTTCTTGGTCATTTGCATAACAAAGTCGTTTTTGGTGGCGAGATAAGGCCCAAAGTGGCAAGCCGATTATGACCCTAATTACATGACATTACAAGTCAGCGTTTATCCCACTCACCTTCGCCCAGACGAAACCCCCGGGAGTATCAAGTATATTGACTTGGCATCTTTCATTGCGGCCAATCAAGGCGGATATCTACCTGGGGATTAGGCCAGCTGACATGACTTGCCTTGGCCCTTACAGAAAGTCAAAGTCAGAGCTTCTCGACTGGCTGCTGGTGTAATTTTTACGGCTTAACTAGGACTCCGTCGTGTCTGCGAAAAATGCAAAGTATATTCCCGCATAAAACGCGTTATTTATGTCTCTACTTCGGCGAAGCGTCGACCGAGAATTAATAACCTACCCCTCGATGGGTGCTGCCATGATGTGCATTATTATGGCCAAATTATACACCTTATAAAAACAGTTGCGCGTCCTTGCCGAAACCAAATTTTTATGTATAGCAATTTATTTTGAATTATTTTTATGGCACTTAACGGTTGCGCTGCCTGCACACATTTAACAGAAAAAAAAACGAGAAAAGCTGACTAGTCAAAAGTTGGTTTCTCGAGGGCTGCGTTCATCTGCGGATGGCTTTCTGAACCCAAAAGAATTCCCCCTAACAGTTCGGTTATTGTGCGAATTTCGCTTGATGAATTATGGGAAATCGATGCGCACATTGACAGCAGTTTGAATGATAATGTTTGCTGGAGATGTAAAACGGTTTGTTTGAGAGCAGCACAAAATATATAATATTATTTTGAATTTAAAATACTGTTAACCTGTATACATATTTCTTTATGTGTTTTTTGATAGAACTTGGGGTTGGTTTTTTTTTTTTTTTGCTTTATTTATTTAATTTGAATCCTTAAGTGCCTTCCTTACTAGAACATGAATCAGAAATTGTAGTTCAAGTTTAGTCCGGTACCGAAATCAGATTTGCCACGTCTTGGTCCGCTCAGGTGGTGATTGGCACTGCCGACGGCATTGAGATTGAGGTTACCACTGGGCGAAGTGTACAGGTTGGCCCGTCCGGAAGTCTGGATGGTGGTCATATCGATCTGGGGCACCCTGGTGACCCCGACTGCCGCTTGGTGACCCGCAGCCGACTGCAGATTGAGTCCACCTCCGAACTGATCGTGGGTTCGGCTGTGGCTGTGGAAACCAGTGGCGTTGAGGGAGGTGCTCTGGCTCTGATGAAGATTGACCTGAGCTGCAGCTGTTGTAGTGCTTCCCACGCCCTCGATGTGGCCATGCTGCACAGAGAGGCCATGTCCGTTGCTTTGGGTTATGAAGATACAAAAATAAAATTTTGGTTAATGATTACATTAGAAGGTTGATAAACACTTCCAAAAATCAAGGATTTTTTTTAAAGCATTAAAGGATTAGGACTGTTCTCGTGAGAACTTACGCATTAACTGCTCCATAAACTCCCTTGGTAACGGGTCCACCAGCGCCAGGAGTTGAGGCGAAAACCCCGGCTCGAGCATTGGCCTGATCGCCACCCACCAACACACCGCATCGAGCGGTTGCCTCTCCGGTCTTTGGGTTTCCTGTCGCCTGGCAATCCATTTAAATTAATTTCTTTATTATGTCTTTCTTGGTGAACTGAATCTTGTAGTTTGAATGATTGCAAAAGCGCGTCAGTTGCTTTTATACTCCGATGCCTTTTGTCGCAAAAGTACCCCACGCATCTTTGGTACATTCCCCTACAACTTTTCTTTTCTGCATCTGTTAATCAGCGTTGTTTTTCCCCTTTAGATATTGAAATAAATCTAGAGGGGATTCCTTATAGCTTAGCGCGTATTCGTATTCGTAAATATGTGTGTGCATAACTTTTATGATTTTGCGGCCCAGCTGCAAACAAATAAAGTCCATTTATCAAATATATATTTGGTTCTTCCCATTTAACAACTGTGATATACTTTGCTATCTTATCCCTTTATTTTAAAGAGTATTAACTCAGGAAGCAATTCATTTTACGTATTGGTCCCCAAAAGTCATTGGCGTCTAATTATAGATTTCCTCTCGTGTTGTTTCCTTATCTCTGTTCTCACCTTTTTCGATTAAAAATATCTATTGGGAAACTTTAATTATTGTAAGTGGCAATCTTTTAAAGCAGTATTTCCCAAAGTGTGGGTCGCGACCCACTGGTGGGTCGCGGGTAGATTTTTGCTGGGTACTAATTGTCATATAGATCTTGCAATTTTTTGTGTAGGTGGGTCGCGGTCCCGAAAAGTTTGGGAAACACTGTTTTAAAGTGTTCTATGTCATGGGAAACCTCTTAACATGTCTTAAAATTTCAAAATACATGGGCGCCGTGGCTTAGTTGGTTAAAGCGCCTGTCTAGTAAACAGGAGATCGTGAGTTCGAATCTCGCCGGGGCCTACACAAAGCAGTTGTGTTTATATTTTTCATGATTAACATAAAAATATTAATTAAAATAATTTTCTAAATTAAGAAACCAATATTTGCCCATTGATACCTTTATTTAATTGATGACCTACACTGTTCAAAAAATTCTAAGAATTTTTAGGTAGGGCACAAGTGGCGCCGTGGCTTAGTTGGTTAAAGCGCCTGTCTAGTAAACAGGAGATCGTGAGTTCGAATCTCGCCGGGGCCTACACCAAATCAAGTTGTGTTTATATTTTTTATGATTAACCGAAAAAAAATGAATTAAAATAGTTTTCTAAATTAGGAAACCAATAAATTCGGCCTTTTGTTACCTTTATCTAATTGGTGACCTTCACTTTTAAAAAAATTCTGGGAATTTTTAGGTGGGGCACAAGTGGCGCCGTGGCTTAGTTGGTTAAAGCGCCTGTCTAGTAAACAGGAGATCGTGAGTTCGAATCTCGCCGGGGCCTACACATAGGTTATAGTGTTTCCTTTTTGTTGCAATAGTTGTTCTTAAAGCGATAATAGTGAGATAATAATTTATGAAGAAAACAATATTGGGTTCCTTTTCTTAATTTTTCGGAGACCCATGTCTACGAAACTTCCACTAGACATATTTCGAAATTTTCCGCCCCATCGCAAGAGGCGCCGTGGCTTAGTTGGTTAAAGCGCCTGTCTAGTAAACAGGAGATCGTGAGTTCGAATCTCGCCGGGGCCTTCGAGCACAAAGTGTGCTGGTTTCTTTTTGCTTTTTTTTTTGCCCCACATCCAGTGCAGTTCGTTGCAGCTGTCAGTCTTCGAGTCAGCGAATTGTTCGAAGCCGAATAAAGGGGAAACTCTCGTTTTTCTTTTGTACGTCTGCCCCGATGACAGCTGACAAAAAGTTTGGCTTGGGTAAACAGTGGCCACGGATTCGCCACCCACGCATCCTCCTCGTCATCATCCACCTGTTGTTGTCCTTGCAACGGCGTTGCATAACGGAAACAAGCGGCTCTGGCCGCCGGAAATGTTCGACAGCATGTTGCGATGTTGTCCACCACAAGGCGAAAGAAAAAAACCGTCAGGAGATCCGGGGGCTGCGCATATTTGCCTTGCAAATGGAACGAACGGCTTTTCAATTTCACTCGCTTTCCGCGATAAAGGGGACTGCCTGCAATTAGCCGACGGCCAGCAGCCACCAGGCAGCTTATTTGTTTCAATTTATTTACATGGACTCGCCTCTGGCTTATCTTGCTTTTTTATACCCAAACGCACTCAAGCCCACCGAGAACTCCGGGGCATATAATTATTTTACAATACAGTAAAAACAAACTTCTGACAAGCGTAACAATGCTCCATGATTTTTATGAATTTAATTTCCAGCGTCCTTTTTGTTTGTAAATCGGATACAGCAATGTCCTCTTCTAATTTCCTCCTGAGAATTAATATCTGTGCGTCTGCTGCTGAATTTCACTTATCGGATGTGAAAATTGGTTGGCTGCTCCCTCTTGATGATCTCGAAGTTTGGCAATCTCAACAAATATCTCCCTAATATTTGTCCAGACTGTTCCCCAAACCAAATAAGCCCAATTCCTGCCCCCAACATGTGTTCAAACATATATCATTTGCAATGCTCCGACGCCCATCCCAGAAAAAAGCTGATCCAGACCTCATCGTCACCCGGGGTTTTTAGCAATTGTCAGCAATTTTCTCAATGGACAGCCCGAAAACTATCGCACAAAACCACTAAGCAAATGTCCCTCGTCCAGCCGATGTGTGCTGTGTATTTTTCTGATTACCCCGGACGGACAGTCCGGCCGGAGTCGCACACAGTGGGCGTGTACATAGCTTAGGCATTAACATAATTTATGTGGTTCCGCCGGATTTGGCTTTGTCGTAAAAAAGGACACTCCATTGTTCGCTACGAGCTTGGAGCTTCGATAACAAAAGACAAAGTCTGGCCGAGGTTTGCGGTTTTTATTGTTTTGATGGCAACAAAGTTTATGGAAAGTTTCACTGGATCTAATTTCGTTTGTAGTTTTTCTGTTGACTTTGCGTATTTTTTTAATTAAATGAATTTCGGGCTGGAGAAATCAAATGGTCGCAAGCTAATCTATGCGGCCATTACTCAAAATTTTTGCAAGGATTCCTGGTTGGGGTGTACGGAGTTCATGGACCATAAAAACGTGCGAAATTTTCACGGGCGCGTGAATTTTCACAGCCCCAGTGGGTTCTTGTTTTTGTTTTTCCAGACACGGACGGGCGTCTCCCCCTTTCACCTCTTGCTGATTGTTGTCACCTGTTTTTTGTACACTTTATTCGCAGGCCTTCAGGTAACCGCTGGGTATATGGATTTGCCTCAGTGGGTAGTATTTTTCACTGATTTTGTGTTTGGTAAATCGGAATAGCACTCCAGGGTAATTTAACGTCGCATAATCGAAGATATCTTAGACGGTTAGTACACCTGGCACGCAGAACTCATAACTCAAAACGTTTTTGTTGCTCCCCTCGCAAAAAGCATGTAATGTGGCAAAATAAAATCAAGCAGCGAAAGTCAAAAACTTCAAGTTTCTCTTTGGGTTTAATAATGAAAAATTGCTGGCACGTGCGGGTTGGAAAAAAACAAAAACTCAAAAATGGTTAAACCTTGTAAAAGTGCACACCTAAGACCTCGTGCAATTGGGGCTTAGTAAATTAATTCCGCGTTGTATGATTATTAAAAAACTTGTCTTTGTAATAAAGAAATATTTAAATGTAAAAAATTTAGTTTGTCAAAAAATTAAAAAAAAAGGATATCCAGTTGGAGATGCGGGGCATCGATCCCCGTACCTCTCACATGCTAAGCGAGCGCTCTACCATCTGAGCTACATCCCCGATGTGGGCGATGGTGCTTGAGACGAATTGTAGGGCTCGTTTGGTAGTTTTTTGGCATTGAAATCAGATTAATTAAGTTATTGGGTTTATATCGCTAAAAAAATTAGTTCATTTAAGAAATTGTATTGTAAGAATTGTAATTGTGTCCAGTCACAAACAAATAAAACAGTATATTGAAATGATGTCAGTTAATATCTAAGATACCAAGCTTTGTTTTTTACTTTAATTATAGTGTTTGAAATGTTATAAATAAAAACAAATTATAATAGTTTTCACTATTTGTGGAGAAATAGCATTTTGACTATTAAACTTGAAAAGATTTATCTAGGTAACCAGAGCAGCCTTGAAAGATTATAATATTAATCAATTTTCATGGTTTGTTGGCTTTGGCGAAGTTACAGCACTCGAATGTTCATTACAAGGGTCATTAGGCATTCTGTCTTAAACCGACTACCTGAGTTGGAATGAAGATTAAATTAAAATAGTTCAACGAGAGACTTGGATTGTTGCAGTTGGAAAAATGTTAGTGCTCCAGTTCGTATTTATGCTAATCCTGGCCAGCAGCAGAGGAGATGTGGAGAACGAAGTCGAGCTGGATGATGATCATCCTTCACGACCAGAGCCGATCGATGGACGATCTTTTTTCTTTCTGGGGACTTTGTTCCGCCGTTGGAGAAATCGATGGATGGCCTATCAAAATCCGGATCCGATGTTTGCCGGTCCTGCTTATCCCATAACGGGATACTATAATTGCCCAGCGTATGGTTGCAATCCAGCTGTTATTGGTCCTCAGCCTGGTTATTATGCCAACCCCGTAGGATTCTATACCATGCCACTGAATCAACAGCAAGCTCAGGGAAACAGCAACGTCTACATCTACCAGAGTGATCAGAACTCCGCCTCAGCAGGGAGTCCCCTAGGATATGGATATCTTAATGGTGTATCGCCACTTGGACCCGCATCGCCACTGCCTCCGCCTTCGAGAATTCCGCCGCCCTCCGGAATTCCTCCGCTTTCTACTGCATCTGCTAGTGCCGGCGGCTATTCTGGACCAGAGACAGGACCTGGACAACGGCCAGGACTTTTTCCAATTCCCTTACCGCAACTGGGATGAACGGGAAAAACAAGAAGCCGGAGGAAGCGCTCGCCTAAGTAAACAGCGCAGACAAAGTAAAAGAAAACAACACAATTTTAATTGAAAAGTGTTCGAAAAAAAATTAAGAAAAAATAGACACAATTAAAGTGCTCGCTTACCATTAAAGTGGTAGCATCTAAATGTTTTAATAATGTTACCAATTTATATACATTAGTGATTTAAAAAGCTACACTTTAAAAATGTTTCCATTGCATGGTATCAATAAAACACACGCAAACCCACTGAACTGTGCAATTAAAATCATCTTGTTTACATTACGAACTAGATTTCGAAAGTGGGGCAATCCACCAAAAGGGTTACCAACGCACACACTCACACGTCCATTTATCCATTAACGCCAAAGGAAAAACTCCACAAGCAATCTGCATAAACAAACTCATCATCGTCCTCACCAGTGGAAAGTGTGAGCTTGAGGTTCCGGACGAGCTGAAGCCGAAGCAGGAGCTGAGGCTAGAATGCTCCGGCACTTGTTTTGATTCCATCATAAACCATAAGATAGCTGCAGAAGAGGATGCCTGATGAAGTGGTTGCAAGCTGCCCGAGGAGCCGGGGAGAGATTCAATTGTTTGGCAAATAAATGCCCGGCAGCATAATGGATGGCCATCCATTGGCTTGGTCAGCTCTGTGTCCGCTCTTGTTATTATTTTTATATAACTTGCGAAAATAATAATAGAGCTTTGCCCATGCCCGAGGGCGTGGCAGAAGCAAACAGGCGAGCGACAGTTGAATAAACAGAAGTGTGAAAGTGCAGATAGTGAAGGGATCTGGCCACCGGGATCTACTTTCCCATATGTTAAGGCGTTGACTCCTGTCCATCTCGGGACATTCCTCCCCTTCTTCATATGCAATTGTCCTGGAGTTTATTTGTGTTTGTGTTGAGACAACAAGAAGAGCAAGGAGGAGGTGTCCGAGACTCATTTACCAGGTGTTTGTCCTTTCTTTCGGGTAACTTTCACTGACCGAAAACGGAAATTAAATGCAAAAGTTTGTTTAAAAGAGTGCTCATGGCTCGCTTATCATCTATTTTCAAACACACATTGTGAAAGCAGATATCTTGGCCAAGAAACTAGTTTGGTTGACATTGAGTAAATTAAAATGTCCAAGACAGAAGCATTAAAGCAATGGTGACTCAGAACTAGGCCCTTTAAATTTAGCTGTCACAACGGGGATGTAGCTCAGATGGTAGAGCGCTCGCTTAGCATGTGAGAGGTACGGGGATCGATGCCCCGCATCTCCAGTGGATAATTAACTTTTTGCAAATTTATTTTTTCAAGTATGTTTTTAATTAAATTTAAAATAAAAAAAATTTAAATTAAAATTTAAAGGTCTACGAAAAATGGCAAAAATAATCGGACGGGCTCAACCGGGATTTGAACCCGGGACCTCTCGCACCCAAAGCGAGAATCATACCCCTAGACCATTGAGCCGCTTGGTCGCTCAATAGCAATTTATACACCTAAGCTTCCACAGCTATGCCAAAACAAATTGAATTTGCGAAAATAAAAATACATCTGGTAAAAATGGTAAATTTCTTTAAAAAGAAAACAACTTCTTGGAGATGCGGGGCATCGATCCCCGTACCTCTCACATGCTAAGCGAGCGCTCTACCATCTGAGCTACATCCCCTTGTGACCGCTGGTCAGCCAAAATGAAAACAACAGCTCTGACATGTTTTTTTTTACATGAATTTTAATTTAATGGTCAATGTCAACAACTTAAAAATCAAATAATACTTGGAAACATTCAACAAATTATGCGTTTAGCCGTAGTATCCGCCGTAGGGGTTGCCGTAGCCACCGCCGAATCCGCCAGGGTAGCCACCAGGATAGCCCCCAAATCCGCCAGGGTATCCACCACCAAATCCACCTCCATAAGCGGGAACGGGCACTGGATAGGGCTGGGGTTGTGGACGGTTACCGCCTAGAAGACCGCCCAGTAGATTGCTGAAAAGGCCTCCACCACCGCCGCCTCCGCCGAGAAGGCCACCACCTCCACCAAGGAGGTTTCCAAGGATGCGATTTTCCACTGGTCCGCCAACAGGCTGACCTTCAGTTGCCGGCGAAGGACGCTGCTGTGGGTACTCATATTGAGCATAGCAGCAGGCGCAGAGCGAGAGGAGCACCACCAGCTAATAAAAGGAAAATCAAATCAATTAGATGACATCCAATCCTCGGGATATTCTGCCACCACTCACCAAAGAGCTAATCTTGACCATGTTTCTAGATCGTCTTGAACTTGACTGACTTGCTTAGCCATCGATTGTTTCTGTTTTTATAGCAATGTTCTTAAAAACCTACGCCCACATTATCCCGGAACACTGCAGATGAACGACCTTCAACCCCTCCGAACTTAACCGACTTCAATGTTTTTCTCACGATGTGTTATATTTTGGCGATAGTCGCTGTGACTAAGTTTTGGCACAATAAAAATTGATAGGTTCGAGAACTGGTTGTGGATCAAGTTTTTGAAGTTCTTTGAACCCGTCGAGAGTAGGAAGTACAGGAAGTGCTAGAGGTTGCTATAAATACGGTGGTTCTCAACTTGGAAATGCTTAGATCCACCAGACAACATGAGGCAAAACAAGGTGAGTGGTGTCACTTTCATATCTGAACACGCGTGTGACGTGTTTTCCCCATTTGCAGATAACGATTCTGGGGGTTACCCTGCTTCTTTGCTTGCGAATGGGACAGTCGCACGGATTCGGTGGAAAGCTCAAAGGAGGCTATGCACCAGTCTACACCAACTTTGTTCCCTACCCCGTGGCCCAGCCGATCCCAGTGCCCCAGCCTGTTCCAGTTCCCGTGGCCATTCCACAACCAATTCCAGTGCCAGTGCCCCAGCCCGTAGTGGTTCCCATTAAGCACGGTTGGAAGGGTGGATTTGGAGGGCTGGGTGGTTTTGGCGGTGGCTACGGAGCCGCTTTCGGTGGCTATCAGAACTTCGCCACTGCCTCCTCCTTCAGCTCTGCCAGCTCTTTTGGCGGAGGCTACGGCGGCTTTGGAGGTGGCATTTTTAAGAGACGCTAGATATGTTGTTAATGTAGTTTTATTAAATATATACATTATTTAAATTAGTTGACACTCATTATTAATTATTTGTTTTGGTCTGAAATGACAGATGGTTTTTGTCCAATAATAACTCGTTTTGTTTTCAAGATATTTTGGCCCGGGCTGTCTCGAAACCGCCAAATGGCGAATCATTCGGCATGAGGCTCAATGGTCTAGGGGTATGATTCTCGCTTTGGGTGCGAGAGGTCCCGGGTTCAAATCCCGGTTGAGCCCGACTCTATTTTTTTATTCGTGTAAGATTATATTTTAATTGTTGCTTAGTAGATTATTATTGGGAACTGTTAGAAAAGCAACATTCCTTCTTAAAATCATAGCAATTATGTTGACGTTTTAAAAAAAGTTCTAGTCGAGGTATTCTAGTTCAAATAAAGGGTTAAAAATAGACAACTTGCTTAAATATCTTCTTTTGGGACTTGTATTTAAAAGAAGTAGGGAGCAGAAATCCTTACAAACTAACAAAAATAACACTATCTGTTTCCGCCCGGGTTCGAACCGGGGACCTTGTGCGTGTGAAGCACACGTGATAACCACTACACTACGGAAACTTCCTTTTTTATAGGATACAAAGGTACATACTGCACTAATAGCAGTGCCGCCATCCTTGCTCCGTTTTTCCAGTCCTTGACAAAGCTGGAAGTCTTCCCAGCCATAAAATGTATTGTAATCTAACGCTTCGGCAGCTCAGTCTAATGTTTTGGTCAATATTTAGAAAATTCTTATTTAAAAAATTTAAATTATTATCATAATTTGGAAGTTCGTTTTTTATAAAAAATGGCATACTTGAGGGAACGATTAAGAAATCTAAAATATGGTCACCAACTCCTGCATTCTGTTCGCCTGTTACTTTAAAATGCCTTTGGTCTAAAAATTGTGGGCTTGGTTTACCGATTTTGACGAAGCCAATTGGTACTAGGATTTTAAGTACATACTAGGCCAACAGAAACATTTTTATTTTCTATTTGCAATGGTCGTATTCAAAGAACTTTATATAAAAACTTAGCAATTTAAGAGGTGAGCCACTTTAAAATTTGATTAAAATAAAACTTTTGGTAGGGTTTCAGCAATATAGCTTTAAAACTGTAGATTATGGGTCTAAAGTGTCTCCTTCACTGTGTCGCAATCTTCTGACTGAAATTATAATATCCTCTGCAAGGATTAAAAAATCCTCTGCAAGGATTAAAAAAAGTACATGCTTCAAGTAGCATAGGCCCCGGCGAGATTCGAACTCACGATCTCCTGTTTACTAGACAGGCGCTTTAACCAACTAAGCCACGGCGCCGCTTGAGTTGTGTGTGCCAGAGTTCTGCCACATGCGACCCTTGTGCGCTCACACTGTTTGTTGTTGTTCTCTGGGAAAATTAGCACACTGCAGGAAAAACCCTACAAGATACGTAAATAAGGGTTATGTTATCGTTTTAAAATAAAGTTAGTGTAACGATGAATCAATTTTGTTTTAATTGCGATTGAAAACAGATAGTAAATATGTTTATTAAAAAATACACAAAATGCTAACTAAAAAAAAATAAAAAATTTCGAACTGTTTCCGCCCGGGTTCGAACCGGGGACCTTGTGCGTGTGAAGCACACGTGATAACCACTACACTACGGAAACCTATTATTTTATGCTACACAGACAAGCATTATGTGCTAGGAGCAGTGGCGCCATCTGTGCCTTGTTTCCTTAAATCTTTAGTAAAGCAGTTAGTCACCCAAACCATCGTAGAATGTCTTGTAAAAGGTAAAATGCGTGTAAATAAGTACACAAATGGGTATAATTTGCTAAAATACATTTTTATTTCCTATGCAAATGAACAAATGAATTACAACTAAATAACAATAATGTTCGATTTTGATGGCAAGCACATGATCATAAAGCTAGAACTTGAAATATAGTCTTATTTTCCCCACAGACCGCCTCCTGAGCTTCCTTCGCTGTGACTTTCCTGGTGGTATTCATGTTGCTCATAGTGCTCGTGATGCTCGTAACCGTTGCTTCTTCCAAAGCCACCGCCATACCCTCCTCCGAATCCTCCCCCGTAACCGCCGTAGCCTCCGCCATAACTTCCTCCGTATCCTCCACCGTATCCACCTCCGTGACCACCTCCGTGGCTTCCAGCAAGTCCTGCGCCCAACTTCGCTCCCACAGCCGCTCCAAGTCCGAATCCAGCTGCCCCACCAATTAAGCCGCTCTTGAGATCCAGTAATTTGGGGCCGCGGACCTTAAGACCCACAAATCCAGCGCGTGGTCCCTTAAAGGCCAGTAATTTGACTTTTCCGGCTGAAGAAAATGGCAGAAGAAGCAGGACGCATAATCCCAGGAACACAACAAGGTTTGAACGCTGAAGTTGTAATTTAAGCAGATTATTAATTTCTATTTATAAATATATTAACACAAAATTATTTAAAAATAAAGTAATTTTTTGTAGGAGTAAAAGTTTTTTATATATCCGTTGTAGTTTTCTTTAATTTTTGTAATCGTTTAAATTCATTCCTTCAGGAAAGATCAAGGTGTATAAACTTTTGTATTTGAGTAATTGAATACACTTTTTTAACACACAGTTAAAAGTTTCTTGTTTGGTTAAAATCTATCACAAAAATATCACTTACAATGATTCGCATTTTGACTTTGGTGCAACACAACGCGATTTTAATTGATTATATCTGTTTTGGAAGTAAGCACGGTTGTTTTTATGTTTATAACTTAAAATATCTTGTAAAAACTTCAAGTTCAACTGTGTGGGCCGATGACGAAGCTGGTCTTTTGGCTTTAAACTTGGACAACGACGCGTGATCAATTGAAGCGACTTCGCGGCAGTCGACGCGTTTTTATCTTGCTGACGCGTTTTTTAAGCGATTCGAATCGCCCTTATGCAATCAGCCGTTGAAGAGGTCTTGTTTGTCTTCGCTTTTGTTGTTGTTGCTGCCGCCACCGATGTGAACTTCAGGCTGTGGTTTATATTTGCCTTATGCACACGATTTGCCCCTGAAAATTTCAGGTTTTTGAGAGCAAAAAGTGAAAAAAATGAACACGAGAAAAGAAATGTTAAAGCAAATGAATGAGCTGAAAATTATGAATGTCAAAAGGAAATCGTGTCAAATGTCTTGCTAATTCGGAAGCTTGATAGCATTTGCAAAAAAAAACCAAGAATCTTTTTCCCAATGTTCGCTGAATCATTTTTAATATTTATGTCATGATAAAGAAATCAATCAAAACAGAGAAAGAAGTTTCCAACAGCGAAGTGGGTTTTTTCATGCTAATCTGCCAAATAGATAACCCCTAAGCCAGAAGACAAGCAAGAGGTCTTCAGACTTCAGGACTGCAATAGAGTGCAATATAATCACTTTTACTTGAGTCTTCCTATATAAAGCGGAGAGCACTCAGAAGTTGCAATTGAATTTCGTCGAATAAGCACTCTTCATCACAATGGTTGTTGTTCAAGCGAGTTGTGTAAGTTCGTTTTCTATTTCCCTTCAAATTGGGATGCATTTAATTGAATTGGTCACCTTTCAGATGCTGGCTCTTTTGCTGATCTTCGGTCAAGGTCAGGCGGCGCCCGCGGATGCCGAAAGTCGGAAACGGGGCGGTGAAATCAGCGGCAGCTTGGGTGCGGGTGCTGGGATGGGGTTCAGTGCTGGACTCTTTAGAGGATTTGAAGGACATGCCCAAACCGGTGCTCAAGCCACTGGTCGTATCCGAGGATACGATTATGAACAAAACTACAGCGATTCCAGCGATTTCTTTCCCAACTTCGGAGGTGGCTTCGGAGGTGACTTCGGAGGTCGCTTCAGAGATCGATTCTATCCTACAGGATCAAACTTCGGATGTGGAACCAGTCCGCACCAATTTGGATGTCGTACTAATTGAATTCATTTCCTAAGTTCACAGTTTGAAGATAGAAACATGTTTCTTTTCTACCATAATTGAAATCCATCACAAAATATCAATTACAATGACTCGCAGTCTGACTTTGTGTTGCGTCTCGACGCGACTTTATTTGATCAAAACTGTTTTGAAAATAAACTCGAGGTTTTTTATCTTTTAAAATAATAACTTAATATATATTTTGGGAAACTTCAAGTTCAAGTATCGGCCGATGACAAAGCTGATCTTTTGGCTTACTTAACCAGTCGATGAAGAGGTCTTGTGTAGTTTTGGTTGAGAAAAGAAATTTAAAGAAATTAATCAGCATAATATTATGAATGTCAAAAGGAAATCGTGTCAAATGTCTTGCTAATTCGGAAGCTTGATAGCATTTACTAAATAAACCAAGAATCTTTTTTCTAATGTTCGCTGAATCATTTTTAATATTTATGTTATGATAAAGAAATCAATGAAAACAGAGAAAGAAGCTTCCAACAGTGAAGCGGGTTTTTTCATGCTAATCTGCCAAATAGATAACCCCTAAGCCAGAAGGCAAGCAAGAGGTCTTCAGACTTCAGGACTGCAATAGAGTGCGCAGAATCACTTTTAGTTGAGTCTTCCTGTCTAGATTAAATCGGCGGTATATAAAGCGGAGATCACTCAGCAATTGCAATTGAATTTCGTCTTCATCACAATGGTTGTTGTTCAAGTGAGTTGTGTAAGTTCGTTTTCTATTTCCCTTCAAATTGGGATGCATTTAAATGAATTGGTCACCTTTCAGATGCTGGCTCTTTTGCTGATCGTCGGTCAAGGTCAGGCGACGCCCGTGGATGCCGAAAGTCAGACTCAGACGGGTGAAATCAGCGGCAGTTTGGATTCGGGTGCTGGAATGGGGCTTAGAGATCGACTCTTTAGAAGGTGTCGAGGACCTGTTCAATCCTTTCCCTTCGCAGATGACTTCTATCCTACAGAAACAAATTTCGGATGTAGACGCAATCCGTTCCAAATTGGATGTTATCCTGAATAGAAAAACGAAATCGTACCAAATATAAAAAAAAATATAAGAGACAACATTCTTCCCAACGTATATGCCCAGCATTTTAAATGAAATCCGATAGCAAACATGCAAATAGAAAAATTAATGCACACTTTGGTGAATCATTTTGGGTATTTACGTTTTATTGACCTCCATCACATTAAAAGCCAAATAAAGAAATCAAACAAAACAGAGACAGAAATTTCCAGCAGCCACGCTGTGTTTTTTCCACGCTCATCTTCCAAACGGATAACCTCCGTAGCCCGAAGATCCGAAGTTGTTGTAGTTGCTGAACTGATTGTACTGCTGATTATAGCCGCCGCTATATCCTCCGCCGAATCCGCCGTAGCCACCGTATCCTGGGTATCCAAATCCCTGATATCCTCCTGCACTACTGCTCGCTGCGGCACTGGCCGAAGAATAGCTTCCTCCGTATCCTCCATATCCTCCGTAGCCTCCGTAGGGTGCAAAACCGTATCCAAATCCAGATCCTGGCCACTGGGGGGCACTCAGTGCTCCGGCCATCAGGCAGCACAGCAGGAAAAACAATGTGAAGTACTGAAACGTTTTAAAAGACTCCGAATTTAGTACTTTGTCCGAGAAGCTTAATTTTTAATGTACTCCCACCTTCATGGCTGGTAAACAACTCAATGGCGACTGATTAAAGTTTGGCATTCTTATAGTCGACGAAAACGGAAGTAAATTTCGGAGTAATTACAATGATGAGATTTAGCATAATTATAGAACAAATGCGAGACAATAGTCATTAGTACAAAGTCACTTAGCGCTTGGACTATTGTGGTTCAATAACCTTAATCACTCCAGACCCATTGCATTTTAGGGACTTGAAATTGAAATTTTATGATAATTTCTACTCTTTCTAAAACCTTTACATTTTCTTTGATTTTCTACTGCATTATATAATATATTCTTGAAGATATTTATTATATTACAATTAAAAGTTCAACACATAAAAACTATAACTAGTTACAAGTAAAGTGAAATTAATAAATATTATACATTTTAATTTTATATAAGAAATATAAATGTTATATTTCATATAGGACTCGATATAATAATATCTTATTTTCAATGATAATGATAATTGGTATCTTCTAGTGATACATGAAATAATATTCAAGCAATATTCAAAAAAACTAACTACAATTTCCTGACTAGCAAATATGTGGGTTGGTCTCACATTGGTAACTTCGCTGACGTCAACTTGAGGTGAATAAACTGAAAACGAAAGTGAAGGCGTAACAGTTGAACAGAATAAACAAGAGGAGCTAAGCACATACATATATCAGACGATAGTTAGTCACTTGGCTAGATCTGCCGGAATACAAGCAGTAACAAGTGCTAATGAGCCAAACAAATGCGGGCCGGCCTTATCGCTCATCCCGACCTGCTTTGTTGCACGTTCTGCGCTGAAGTTTGTTGTCTAAGTCATTTGTTTTGCATGTCAGTAAAGTGAGTTCGTGTTAAATACCCTAAACAAAGGCAGTTTTTTAATCATAGGGAATACAGACTCCTAAAAAATAGTAATATTATTATTTAAGTTTTTGAAAAATAAATTGTATACTGGTAATATTTAATAAATAACAAATTTAAATTAACTTCTTGATCTGGTTTTGCTTGTAAATATAATAATTAAACATACATAATAAAAATGCAAAGCAAGTTATCTACAGCCACGGAATCCATACTCAAATAAATTATTAAATTTTGAACTTATTCATTTTAAGTTGCATTGTCATTTTAAGGTAAGGGCACTCTTACATAGTCGTAGTCCAACATTTTCTGGTTGCTCTTGACAAAAGCCGGGTGATTGTAGTATGCGATTATTTTTATTGGGTTTTCCACGATCTTGATCGTCCGGCAACCAAAGGTAACCCTCGAATAAATGATAATTTAGTTTTTGGGGCTGTGGCTTCGAAAAATTAACGCGTTCTGAGGCCCAGTGAAGCATCGCCGGCTAAATTGTCTCTCTGCTCGACTTGATGGGGGATTCCGCGATTTCGTCACAAACTGGTTTCGCTTTCGCCGTGTGTTTGTTCTGCAATTTGCGTAGAATCACTTGGCAATGCGTGCCGCGTACTTGAGGCTTCTTGGCCAGATTCAAGCGGCGGTATAAAAGCGGCGGGCACTCAGCAATTGCAATTTAGTTTCGTCCAAGAAGCGCTCGTCACCGCAATGGTTTTTGTTCGCGTGAGTTGTGTAAGTTCAGCTGCCATTTCCGTTCGGATTCGGATGCACTAATTGGATTGGTCACCTTGCAGATGCTGGCTCTTTTGCTGATCGCCGGTCAAGGTCAGGCAGCGCCCGTCAAGGCCGAAGGTCGGACTCTGGGCCTTCTGGGCGGCGGATTCGGCGGCAGTGTGGGTCTGAGTGCCGGAATCGGAGTGGGCGGTGGCCTCTATAGCGGATTCGGAGGAGGCGGTGGCTATCCCGGTGGCTATGCCAGTGGCTATCCGGGAGGATATGGCGGATACGGAGGATACTCCGGTTATCCGGGTTACGGAGGTGGCTACTATCCGGGAGGAGGTTACTCCGGCTTTGGACACAGGCCGCACCACCATGGAGGGTTCTATCCCGTCGGTGGTAACTACTACAACCAGGGTGGATCCTATGGAGGCCACTACAGCCAGTCGCAGTACTCGAATGGATACTACAATGGCGGTGGATACGGAGGTGGTGGCTACGGAGGCGGTGGCTTCTTCGGCTGATGAAGCTCTTAAATCTCGTCAGCTGGCTAGTGAAGTACTTGTGATTCGCACTTTGTAGATTGTAAGATACACGAAATAAATTCAGAAACCAGAAATAATAGGCTTACTCGAAGACAATCGAAATCCGGTTTCTCTGCTGGGAATATTGTCCTTGGCGCTGCCTTTGTGGCTCTGCTCTCACTGATTTTTATGAAGTAAACGCGACGTGCATAAATTTAATGGCCACAGATCCGAGATTTATGTACATGCCTGACTAATCCATCCCCTGAAAACAGTTTGGGGAATTCCTTGCTTTAATCTTTCTGGCAGGTAATTTGCTAACTCATGTTTTCATGTCGGCTTTTCAGATCAACCTTTAACTAAATGAGGTTGTTTTTGATTTGTTTTTTATTACATCCAAAATGATAATCCGTTGAATGATAATTTTTCTGGTTTTAAAATTAAAATATTAAACAAAGTGACTTCAATGAAACGGAAAACAAATGCTGTACAAAAATCTGTCTTATTTTATTTCCTTATCCTATTTACATTAAAAATATATATCGCTATATAACATTTCGATTTCGATTTGGATTGGTTTATCCGTAGCTGCTTCGCTGATCCCTTGACCGATAGCCTCCCGTTTGGTAAACTGGTTGAACTTGACCCGTCAGCTGCTGAATAATTCCGTTTACGGTTGTGGCCACGCCTCCAACTAATTGGGCAGGTGTCACTGGAGGCTGGAATAAATAAATAAAAAAAACAGTTGAAGATAATTTAACTTATTTAGACACTATGTTTAATAACTTCACTTACCGCTCCTGCAGAATCGTAGTAAACTCGATTGGGAACAGGTCGCCTCACTGGCGGAGGTGCCGCATAGTTCGGATCCACTTCGGGATCGCTCTGGGCATCTCCAGGACGAATGGGATCTCTCAGTGGATCCCTGACGGGGACACCGGGCACAACTGCAGAGTTCAGAATCCCGGGAGCAAAGAGCGACAGCCAGGTGGCAAATGGAGCATACGGACGCACTGGCACTGGAATGGGTTGAACAGGTGGAAGGGGATCGGACAGGAGTCCTTCGCCAAGACCACCCAATCCACCTCCTCCATAACCGCGACATCCGCCGGGATAAACTTTCACCACATTCACGTCGAACAGGAAGCGACCCTGCTCATCGGGATCTTTCTGTCCGCCCTTGGCATCGCGACCAAATGGACCGCAAGGACCACCTCCATATCCTCCATAACCTCCGTATCCACCGTATCCCCCCATATCCACCGTATCCGCCATATCCTAAGTAGGGCCTCGCCAGTCTCTTGAGTTTCTTTTTGAGCAGCAGAGTGCGTTCATCGCCGGATTCATCCAGCTCCTGGTTGGAGGCTCCTGCAAACTTGGCATTTTCCTTGTCCGACTTGGTGGTGGTGGTGGTACTTGTTGCCTCCTTGGCTTTCCGGCTGCTCAGAGAGTTGTAGGAATTTCCGGAGTACGAGGAGGAGTAGGATCTTCTTCGGGGATAGTCGTAACTATAGGTGCGCGGAAAGGCCAGCGAATAGCCCAAGGCTCCCAGAAGGAGTAGAAGGAATAGTTGCATTTTCGGAAACGCGATTCGATTCGATTGCTGAAAGACTTCTGCACGCTTGGCGAAATGGGCACAGACTATTCCTCTAATGCGGAGTACGCCCCAACTTATCACCTTGCCCGCGTGCAAAAACCAGAAAAAAAACCAACTCAAATTTGGCAAATTGGTTGCTATTCCCTTAGAAGGCAGCCAGACACCGGCGATTGCACAATGCCCTTTTTTATTGGCTCAAATTTTTTCCAGGGCATTGTTTTGATATGGTAATTCAGGCCGCCCACCCGAGCCACCGGCATCGCGAGCCTCATCATCATCAGGTTAATCGCCCACATGGCACAACAATAGCGAAGAAAAACATGTTACACTCGGCGACTCATGTGCATTGACCTGAACCACCGATGGAAGCTCTCACCCATCGCTAGTTTTGCCAAAAAACAAAAAAATATTTCTGCCAAAAATGTAACCCGAAAGTGGGTCAATGTCGCGTTCGTAGACTGCACCGACTGCCGCTAATATGGGAGTCCAACTAATTAGTTTTAAGGGGATGCACGGATGCTTTTCACATTAATCAGTTTTTTCTCACAACTCGGGGCAATTCATCTCATTCAGAGACAGCCCAATTTACTGAGTACTGTTGTTACAAATAGTTAAAAAGAAACATAACCCAAAGATTTAACAAGTAGTAGTTAATATCTTTGAAAATCAAAAAAAGCTGTAACTTCCAAATAAGTATGCATTTTAAAACCAGTTTAAAAGTAAAAGAAAAAAATGAATCATCTTATCAATTTTTGAATTCATTATTAAACTTTGTTATATGTAATCATTAATTGCACACACACATATTATTGTCAGAGGTAAATTTTCGCCCCTTACATTTAATTATTACATTAGTATAATAGTATTCGCTTACGGTTAAGATACAAGTATACATTCAACTTACAACTAGGAAAACAAAACTGTACAATTTTTGGGGAGACCAAGTAGCCTCTAATTCGGCTTTGGAAGTAGGATCTACCATGAGCTACAATCAGTTCATTAAGCTAGGAAGAGTGTGCGTTGTGATCGATACAAGTCCGCGTCCTTTTCTAAACAGCCATCTTGGGTTTGTTAGCCTCGGCCCGTTTGCGTATGGCCCTCAATCGCTGGTTGCAGTAGACCCTTAGGAAGATGGCCACAAAGACGATGAGAACGCCAAAGAAGCCCAGCAGCGAAATGCTGTGCTGGTAGATAAAGCAGGAAAGCATGATGGCCACGGCCTGCGGGAACCAGAATAAAATTCCTCGTAAGCATTCAGTTGATTAAACAAACCACCCGTTCCAAAAAAAAAACAATAGATAAATTTATAACTCACCTGACGCAGCGTCATTATTATAGTAAACACAACTGGGCCGAAGACATCAATTGTGTGATAGATAAACAATTGGCCGACCGCTGAGCAAATGGAAAGCACCACCATATCAAACACGAACTTTGGGTGCTGGAATAAATAAATAGAACGTGAGGTAGGACCATCTGGTGAATAATATTAAGTGTTTTTCTTTACAAGAACCCTTACAAATAAAGATCTTCTTAAACGATTTAGCTTGACTTGCTTTTACTAGAATTAATAATTAAAGAAAGCTTGAATGATCAACAAAACAGCAGCTGGTGGTGCAAACCTAATGGAAAGGTCGGTATTTAGGTTATTTAACCAGCATTTAAAACTAACATTCCTATTAATACATTTCCTTTTCTCGTTGCATATGTTTTCGAGAGATATTGCTTTTTAAGGTCTTACCTCTGTGGCAAATGTCAACGAGTCCATGAATCCTCCCTGCATCGAAAGCGAGGCTCCGGTGAAGATGGAGGAAAACAGATTCACGCCGCACATCATCTGCAGCGAGGTCATGCCGTAGCTCTTGAAGAGTGAACCCTGCCAGTTGGCAGTAAAGCTGTCGAAGACCATGTACATAGAGAGCAGGAAGATGCCCGTCAGCGTCGTCACTCCACTGGCCTTGCTGCTGTCCGAGGAGCCGCTCATAAAGAAGATCATGCCCAGCGAGATGAGCAGTGCGGTGACGTACTCGTAGCTCTCGTACTTCGCTTTCGACATGATTTTGCCCATCAGCATCACGGGTATGATCTTGCAGGACTTGGCCAGCACCTGGGTGGGAAAGTTGACGAACTTCAGGGCTTCGTACTGGAACCAGGCACTCATGATGTTCGAGAATGAGGCGTACGAGTACTTGTACAGCGGAGCTCGGTGTCGCACAGGCGATGGTTGCCATTGCAGATAGGCGAGGGCCACCAGAAAAGCCAACAGTCTGTTAGAAAACACCAGGAACTGAGAGTCCTTGAACTTTGCACTTTCTCCAGCGAAGTTTAGATAGTGTTGCGTCATGATCTTCTCCTGCAGCACTCCCCAAGTGAGATATGAGACCATTAGACCGCCAAAGCACCAAATAAGCTGCACTGCCTCTTGGGAACTCGTTCGTTTGGGGATCGTAGAAACCGCAGGGCGATCCTTATCCGTGGAGCTGCCTCCTGTATCGACTTGATCGTATCCAGAGTTACCTGTGATGCACATGTTGATGGCTCTGTGCAGTAAGTTCTGGTTGCCACGCTCCAAATAGTTGATCCTTCCCACATACTTGTAGATTAGGTAACCTGGCACAAAGACACAGCTGTAGCCGAAGCAATTCACCAGGAGCTTCAGCAACCAGGCGTAGTCCGAGCTCTGGGCCTCTACCAGCTGGGAAAGCGTCACATCCTGGTTGTAGTAGCCACCTAGAGAGGCCCTCAGCAAATCCGAGAAGAAGTGAATGACCAGCAAGCTGACCACGATGAAGGAGCTGTTACAGAAATTGGACTTAGGTTAAATTTAGTTTAAATAGTATTTTTAAATCTTTATTTACCATATAACCAGCTCGGGAACTCGACCCATCTTTTTGGAGGCATACATGTGGCGCGTTTCGTTGACTTTACCGGATTGAATTCCCAGCGATGCTGACTCGACCGTTTCGCCGATACCTATTGAACCCGCGGGCGATTATCTATTCTCGCCGGCAAATCAGCCAGTCAAGTGTCAAGAGTTCAACAACCGACGCTGCCTAGAAACTAGTTTTTGCATAATACGCACACCAAATCAGATTCAAACAATTATCATATCGCGAGTTTGTTTACAGTCGGCTGCCAGATGTGCGTGCGTTTCTTCTGGAGTTCGGCGGTGTTCTGAGTTCTCAACGGGTTGGGTTTTCAGGGAATTCGGGCAGCCGGCACTTGGGCCAGCTACACAAACACTCTGCCTCGTCCCATTGTGAACACGTCCCAAAACAAAAAACAAATAAATTTGCCCAAAATTTAATTTTCTAGAGGTGGGCAACCACTGATGGCACTATCGGAGCACAAAATTTGTTAACGATATATATTGTTGGCGTTAGTGCATTGCTTTTTGGCGGTTAAACTGATAACCGATAACTAAGCCGTTATTGGATTTAAAAAATGTAATTCCTATTTTTCTAATTTTTTATAAAAAATTGTTTTTTTGTTTTAGCTAGCTGGCCAAAGGAAGAGGAAGGAAGTACCATTTTATTCCAAGTAGTATTGTTAGCTTAACAATCTCTTTCAGTTTGGTATTTGTTTAACTTTAACTTCTATCGTTAAGCATTAAAAGTGTATGCCTGACGTTAGTGTTAATTTCTATATTTTTTGTTTTTCATAATGTTTTTTAATTTAAATAGTTATAACGTTTTTTAAATTAAAATAATTTTTTTTTCTTTAAGAAACTTTAACGAAGTCCGAATGCTCATACAAACGTTCACTATGCTGAAAACAAATTTACAGTCAAACGAAAGGAAATTCCGTCTGAAGTCTACTACCAGGCGCACAGCAATGCGAAAAGGATTCTGGAATGTGTGATTCAGAGGACACTCCCGGAACGAATTGAAAGCGAAAGGACTTGGAGGTCTGTCGGTTTGTATGTGTGTGTGTCTATGTGCGAGGGGAGTGTCGCTTGACATTGCCACACTATTGCTTAGGGGTGGGTTTTGATGTCAGTGGCGTGTCCTCGGTTCTGCAACCCCTAGAGATGTATATGTGGCTGTATTACGACTAAAACATTAAAAAAAAGCTAGAAATTGTCTAACTACAGAAAAATGGTATTCAATATTATTACTTGTAGTAAGTATGAAATATTTTCTAATTTCAACATGTAAGCTACTACTGTAATTGCTCTATCAGGTTATTAAAAAATAAGTAAATAAAAATAAAAAGTATTTCCCTTTTATCAAAAAGGAGGATTTTATATAGGATGCTTTTTGAATAAAATATTTGCTAATTTTTTACAATTTTATACCAAGTTAAATATAATTTTCTTGCTGAATCAATCCTAATACTCCCAAATTGCGCAACACTGACAACCACTGCAGCATGGACCATGTCGGCGGGACTACGCCCCTGCGGATGACGGGTCGCGACTCTGCCCGCCCAAGTGGGTGGGTCACAGGCACCGGCAACCTCCGATTCCTGCGGAGCGTTTCAATTAGCGAGTGCGGGCATTGGGTGGCGCCCAAAACGAGCGTCGCACCGCCGGACTGGCTCTTTGTGATTTTTGCCAAGAACCCGTCGAAGAACCTCTGCAGCAGCAGCAGCGGCAGCACATTCAAATAGACAGACACGTGTCCATCAGCGGTTTAACCCTTCTTAAGGTAACGCCCAAGGATTACCAGGCGAACAGGAATAGGAGGAAGTCGCTCTTCGAATCCCGAAGCCAATGCGCATGTCGCCCACTAGGGCGTGATCTACGGGGCGGAGTATAGCCGTCGCCCGACCGCCCCCCACCCATCGAATGGGCTGGGTTTTGACGTTACCGCCGGTCGAGGCCATTACATAACGGTAACATGCGAGAGCGGTGCAAACGACGGCCCAAACCGGTTAACAGTTACGTCGTAACTAGGAGCAACCTTAGTGCACCAGGCGAACAGAATCGCCAGCCGGAGCGTCCATTACTACGTCTTTACATTGGCAATCCACCCCTTGTGGTTGTAGCAACAGTGGGGGTGAAAAATATAGATTACAAGTAATATTTCATACTCTCAATATGACCACGGATATGAAAAGTGGTGAAGATATTAGGTAAAGATTTTACAAAAATCATAGCAAACATCTAAGCAACTTTTTTGCCTTTTTAGAGCAGCAATAAAGTAAGCAAATTAAGTAAAATAAATAAATGAAATCATAAATAATGTTTGCTTTTAAAAACTTTGTATTTTCTATTTATTATTTTAATTCCTATTACCCTTTGTTTGCTTTTATTATTCTGACCGCAACTGTATGTGTTTGGTTGTGATTTAGGGGTTGTTCCTGGGGCATTATTAAGTGCGCTAGTGTACTGTACTGCTCAAGGTCGCGATTGTCCTGTGTCTTTGACTTCGTCCTTGTGTGCGTGACAGCATCTCGCACACTCAACCGCAGTCTGCATGTGTATTCCCGCGACACGTGTATTTGTCCGTCACATACTCGTACACATTCTTTCGTGGTAGATTTCGTACCAGGGGATCATAATCCCGCGAATGCGAATCAGCATGTCAGCATAATACCGCATTCCACACGCACAGCTGTCCGTGTGTGCGTCTAATGGAATTAGTGTGCGTGCATCGAATGCACACACATGCGGTTGAGCATATATGCTAGGGGTGTGTTTTTCTTCTATTTAATGGGGTGGTTGGCTGCTCATTCCCATTGCGTATCCGCAGCAGTTGGAAAAGCTCTAAAGCTCAGCTCTAAAAGCTCAGCAAGGTTTTCACTCGGGTTGGAAACAAGGAATATAATCTTCAGAAAAAGTTTGTAAACAAAAATTCTTTAAAAATAATCAGTTATATTAAACAGCATTTCAAAAGGTCTGAAATTTTATTATAAAAATTTTTATAAGCACAAACAAAATTCAAAATTTTCACATTACAAAATAACACATACAAAACTTATGATAAGTACAAGCCGATTATAATTTATAAACAATTTGTAAACTTTTTATAAACGGAGTTTATTTTGCATTTCGCAAATCAAAAAATAATACTGATTGTGGTTTTTTGTTGGCAATTAAAACTACGTAATAAACGTTCTCAATATATCTCAATTTCGTTTTGTACAACTAAATAGTTAGTTCGATTAGGGTCAACAACGTTCGGCAATTTCGCTTGCTCTTCTTATCGAGCCCAATAATATTAGCCAATAATTTGAGCCATTTGCTGAATTGCTTGCCTGATAAGCGTCGCAGAAAGGACTTTTCAATGCCAACAGCAAGGACAATGGTGCGCCGGCCAACACTTTAAACAAAGGAAAAGGACGAAAATAGACGGCCGAAGTCGAGGGGCCAAGGCGATTCCTGGACAATGACACTGACAATAATGACGAGGACGATGGCACTTGTCATTGTGTGTGCTGCTCGGAATTGCCTTTGAACGAATACACACACGGCTGGGTGTATCTGCTGCTGAAAATCGGAAAGAAACGGGGGCAGGACAACTTCATAGGTAGCTGTGCCAAGTTGTCATTGCGTGTTGTCAGCAAACTGGCGACAAAGCTTATCTCAGATGGACACACACAAAGCGGCACAGTCGGAGTCAGATGCTTAGATACAATAGCGAAAGGGGTTGGGATAGCCAGTTTGGGAAGATGCCATCTCGCCGGGCACTCGAACAGCTGTCATATTGGGTTTCTTGCGGATAACTATAGCTTTTGGAATTCTGCAGACTGGTAATTACAAGCGGCAAGTGGCGCTTAAGTTCCATCTTCAACTGCCTGGTCATAAATTTGATTGTCGTTTCGCCGGCTCCCACTATCACGGCATTCGGGCAGCCCAACCCATCGGCGGACGGGTCGACTTTGTCGCTTATCTAAAGTCAAAACAATTTTCATATATTTTCCCCCGTAACGGGAGACTTTTTCATTGCCCAAGGACATGCCATTTCGCAATTAGCATTGGCGTACACAACTAATTTGCGCTGCGGGATAACTCCGCCTCCGTTTCGTTTCGGATGTCCTGCCTGCACCCACATGTTAATTAACAGCGCCGGCCATCATTTGTACTTAAGTTGAATTTTATTTTGTGAACAATTATGCTAATTTGTTAAATAAATAGGCACGCACTGGCGCTGGCGATGTTACCATAAGTAAGCCCGCAAAATGGTCGCCGTTCAAGTTAAGTTTTATGGGGATTTTTTTATTTTATTGCCAACTCCCTCGCTCTCGACGGACGACAGTCGTTCCAATTAAGTTTGCGTTTGCCATTTAATTACTCTAATATGCCAGCCAGTCAGCCAACCAAGTGAATCAACCACCTCCTGGTATTTGTGCGCGTGCCGAGCATGAAAATTAGCTTGTACATTTCCCCCACTTTTTCCCTCCATTTCCCGCCATTCCGTTGCTTTCCCCGTTGTGAAAAGCCACGCCAACTCCGGACAGGCCACACCTCGAAATTGATGGCGCCATTTGTTTAGAGCAGCCATTGCCGGCGAGTTATCAAAGCTCTTTGACACCCACATCCATTTGTCAAGCCGTCGCCCCAATCTGAATCTGTGCCACATCGCAAATGGAATGAAAAATAAAATCCAGGCGACCGAGCAACAAGAACAAGTCGCCTACTTGCCACATTTAATTAGTTTTAACCTTACACATTTGTATGCAAAACAAGGAGCAGAGCTCGAGATGGAAAACTTTTCAGTGAAATACTTGAGAAGCTGTCCTTCTGCCAGTCATAAATAAGGCACTGAGAAAAAAACATTCAATTAAGTGTACTATCATTCCATGTTCATGGAATTACATTGTCAGTGAAATTATGTTTATTAAGATGCATATATTGGTAATTAACTACAACAAAAACAAACTTTTTAGAACACTTGCAATAAACAATAATAAATCTACTTAATATATTTTAAATATTATTCATTCGGAACTATTTTAAGCCTTTGCAATAGGATGTATAAATTTTTATATTGAAAATGTATTCCAACCATTTTCGTCTAAGTGTGCAAATATGTTAATTTGTTTGCAAATGCCGAGAGCCAATCAGAGTTTTTATCAACTGGAATCTGCATGAATTGACTGACAAACCAAGAGAAATGGAAAAGTGTCCATGTCCTCGACCCGTCCTGAAATCAAAAGCGGCGCTGCAACAAGACAAAAAGTTTAAATGAAAAGGAACACACTGCGGTCAGGACGATGTTGACAGGGGAATGTGAAAAGTAGCAAACAGCATCAAAAGTTTTCCGGATTCTACTTTATGGCCCGCTCCAATCTCGACCGGCGCCTTTCATCTTTTTCAGCCGGGGAAGAGGGAAGAGATGAGGGTCGTCAGCCAATTTTTGATTGCAACATTTCGCACCAAAGGCAAAATATGAGCCACTGCCACTGCACACAAACGAGAACGAGACATGTTAAAGCTAATTTTAATATTTTCCCTGACATGGCGTTCACTTTGAGTGTGCCACCGCCTTTGTTGTTGTTTGTCCAATTTGAACGCCCGCCCATCTAGAAACATTCACACACATTATACATATATAGGAGTATAGCTAAATACCCCTGTCCCGTAAGTGCAGTGGATCCATCCCCATCCTGTTCCACATCATTCCCTCCAGGCGACAAGTAATTTTACTTGGCAAAATAAATTGCAAAAAGTCCTTTTTTTGCGATCCCTCGTTTTGTATCTTTGCTGTCTGCTGCTGCTTTGTGGACCTCATATGTGTTTTGTTTGGCTGTGTTTATGCGGTTTCCCTTTGTACTGATTGGCCAGCGCTTAATTTTTATTTCTTTGGATTTGTTTTGGTATGATAAATGAAATGAGTCGGTATAAAATATTAGAGGTAATAGATGGAAATCATTATAAAAGGACTCTAAATTGTATGTTTTGTTTTACGTAAAAAGTTATCTAAAATTTGCAACGGAGGATAACGTTGTCAATTATCCACCTTATCATTACTATTAAAATATGTTGTATTAAAGATCTTGCTACGGAAAAAAATTGCATTTAAAGATAGAGCTATGAACTCGTCATGAAAATAACATTTTTAAACCTAAGTATTTTTATTTAATATAAATTATTGCTACTTAACATTATGCCAACATAAGAGGACCCGAAAACTGTGTTATTTTTATGTTTTAACTAAATCATCTTTTGCTTTTACTCCAATGTGAGGTAGGAGTAACATAATTTTAATTTTTCCAGCAAAGTGCTGCTTTGCATTTCAAATGAGTTGGGAGGACAGGCAGCTGAGATGGGAGAGTAATTCTGGAGAAAGCCCTGAGCTTATTTTCCAAGCCATCAACTGGTCTCCGAGCTGCGTGCAGCGACTGACAAAACAAATAAACTTACTGCCGCTCCGGATGCGCTCGAAAGGGGCGGTAGGGCGATGGGCGTGGCAGCGGGCGGTACAGCGGGGTCGTCACACACATTTGGTATGCATAAGCAGCAGTCGCATACCTTCCCGCACATTATCCGGCGAGGAGACATTTTTCCATATTTTACACAACAAAAGCGATGCCAGACGCAACTTTTACCTCAACTTGCTGTGACATTTTCCTTAGCCCTTCCATCCCCCTCTCTTTCCCTCTCGCTGGGGGCTGGATATATCCCTCTCTGTCCTCTAACAACCGACCGCAATTTCAAATTTAATTCGCCATTTTCAGCAGGCAGGCAGCAAGGCAGCCAGGGAACCACCCCCAACTTGCCAAACAAACACCCATTCACCCACTTTTTAACCACCCATCCGCCCACTCAACGCCATCTTGTGGCTTTTCTTTGCCGCATTTGTTGCCGGTTTCCTTCGGCTTTTTATTACGTATACGGAAAATGTGGAATTCCTGAAGACATTTTACTTTGCAATTTCCTTACGAGTCGTTAAACATTTCCAGGCTCTGCCAGAGCGACTCCACAACAACGGGCAAAGTTAACAAAACTAATTTAAAAATTCAAATTTGCTTTCCGCTTTTTATATGCATCACAAACTGTGCATTTATATGGCTGGGTAAGTGAGCGGTGTGTGCATATATATATAAATATTTGTACGTTTATCCTTACATATATAAATTCAGGATGTGAGCGGTGCTGTCTGGCTTTCTGTGGCCTGGTAATTTGTATTCTTGTGGCTTTGTTGTTGATTTTCTTGTTACATTTGAGTTTTTCTTTTCTTTTCTTCTCGACTGGATTCGATATTTGAGGATTTTTCCCGCATGTGCAAATTCGTTATAATTTATTTGTATGCCGAACGGAATCGGATTGCGAAAATATTTTGAATTGAATTTTACCAATGCTAATGGAAAATCGTGCTCAGTAAACTTAATTATGCTTGAAATTTATGCAAACATTCGACAGACAGTGGTTTCTAAAACTCGGCTTTGACAAAACATGTGCTGCTCGTTGGAATAATGCAAATTTTAGCTCATTAATATCAATCAAATGATTGATAGCACTTAGAGCCACCACCGCAGTTGCCGCACCCCTCGCACCAACCCCTCAGGACTGTTAATAAATCCTTTGACAATTGTTACATTAATGTCAATAAGCTGCACGCATTTACATTTGTGACCCTTTCCTGTCACAATATTTGTCCGACTCGTGCCACTCGAGTGATAAGGATCCCTATTCCTGCTCACTCCCGACATCCGGATCCTGCAGTTATCCTCGGGCAATCTGTCAAAGTTTTAGCTACATTTTCGCTGTCTCATCAATCAATTTCGTTTAGCCAATTGTCACTCAACCATTTTACCATTCTATTTGGCTTTGCAGCGGCTAATTTCCGACAAAGACTTCCTGCCAACTCTTTTCAATCACTAATGCAAATCACGTTTAAAACAGAACACTAATCATAATATACATATTAGTCTGGCCCGCTACAGTTGTAAATGCAATTCGAACATTATGTCGACACTATTGGATGGTTATTCCGGGCCCGCGGCAAATTTGCAACAAATTAAAGGCCACTTAGCCCATCAAGCAGGCTAACGAGCCGCCGACCGCAAATGCACACACGCAATTGCAATTATCAAATTAGAGCGGGGCGGGGCGGTCAAACAATTGGAGAAACAAATAATAAATTGGACCTGGAAATGCAAAGCACTCGCCCTGACACTACAATTAAGTTGTTGACCCCATCCGAGTTGACCCGTCGCATTGGTTAAGACCAAAATGCGATCCACTGACAACTGACAGGCGCATAGGCCTTGAATTAATTAATATGTTTACTTGGCTGAAGATGCAGCGCAATTATGAACTGGCACGGGTGTGTCAGCTACGTTTTCCCTGGCCAGTTTTAAATTCCTCGAAATGCACTTAATTTTCCACTGATATGACGAGTTTCCCCTCTTCGACTTCTAATGTCCGTCGTGGCCTATTAAACACACCCCTCTTTGAGCCAACTTTACCTGAGTTGGCACGCGCCACTGAAAATTTTGGATAAAATTTTCAACATACCTCTGCGGTTTTCCGGACGTTTTTATAGTCCTCTCAAATTGCTCTAATTCGTTAAGTTATAAAACTGGCCGCCAAGTTTTCAGAGTCATTTACTTTTATTGCCCGCCGGCGGTCAATGAACCAAAAGTCAGAGGACTACCCAAAAAAGGACGACACATGCGTGTTAATCTCTAATTTGCTAGGCGATCATGGAGATATATATATATATATGTGTGTATAGCGCATACATATTCAACATCGCAGCGGGTAGTTAATAGGAGCTTGTTCCATTCGTATCCTTTTAATTGCCAAAAGTCGCCGTGTTTCGAATTTCGGTATCTAAAGTTGTTTTTCCCATTTTAATGGCGCTATTTTCATTAGGCAAATGTATGTTTGGCTTTTTCCTTTCATTTAATTCCCAAAAAATTTGAGTCCTTTTATTTTTGTGTGCCGCTCATTAGCATATAAAATGTATGGAACGCAAGGACGCTATCCTTTATTTGAGAGGCAGTGTTTGGTTGGGCGAGAGTGTGTCCGTATACACAATCCACGTTTATTGCATATTCATCATTTTAATTGCTTGTTTTCATACTAAATGACTCGATAAGGCTTTTAGGGTTATTACGCGGAGATGTCCTGCCGTCTCCACTCTGCGGCCAGGTGGGCTGTCTGGGTCTATAAATATATACATATATGGCAATATATAGCAAGACAGCCTGGAGAGATTTAGCATTTTCTAAGCAGTTTGTAAAGTTTACACCAGGTGAAGCTGATGTATTATCAATAATTGCTTACTATTAACTTAGTTCCAATGAAAAAGTTATTTAAGTTTATTTTATTTAGAGGTTTTTTTTTATATTTCGAGGAATTGCGGGGTCCTTTGATGGCTCCATGTCTGTATGCAAAAATCCAGCAAATGAAATGAAACCCAGAAGAAGCTCGCAAAAGGCAACGAAAAAGCAATTCACGTAGAAAAGTGCAACAAAGATATATCCGGGGGAAAAGGGCAAGGTCTGGAGCTTGGATATGATTACTTTTCCTTTTGTTTCCGATTGCGGAACTGGGGAAATCAAGAGAGCGTGGCGAAAAGAACAAAGAAATTACTTTCCCAACGAGTGAACGGATATGAATAAAAAAGTGATCAATGCAATGAAAATGATTGTCTGCTCATTGTAGCGCTCCCTTTACAATTGAGCGCACAAAGTGCGAGAAAGATGAAAGTTTGCCAAATGTAACAGCACTTTATTAAAAAGAAAAAAACAAACAATTTTAAAAACAACGATTTCTTGGGGTTAGAGTCCTCAGAAACATCTCCAAGCCTGAAATTTAAACACACACAATTAGTATTTCAGTTAAGATTTCTTTGTTAAACGTACCTGGATTTCTGGATTCCTAATCTTGACAGCCACACCCACAAGAAGGGGGACAACGACAGGGCCTGCATCCACATCCACATCCGCAAGGTCTGGAGCATCCACATGGAGAACTCCTGCCACATCCACAACCACTAGGTTCCTCGGGTTCCTCAATAGAGCAACTTTGCACCAGGGAAATGGTCAGGGCAACCAGGATGATTAACTTGATGTCGAACATTGCGATTAGCTTGAAGGATCTGGACTGCATTGAAAACTGTGATCACCCTCTTCTTATAGTCCAACCTTACGATAAGTTTTATTTGAGCAGTTGATTTTTAAGCTATTTTAACTATGTAAACATATTGCTTATTCGCCATATGGATTATTAATTAGAGTTTAATATTTATAGGTGTAAAAGCGTAAATGACATTCGATATATTTCGTTTATTTATGTACGACAAACAAAATGGTTAAATTTAGCTTTTCGATATGTATTTTTTGTTTTCTTTTTAATAAAAAATAATGTTTACTAAGGCAATAACGATTAGGTTTATTAAATAGATTTTAAAATTGTAAAATTAATAAGGTCAAAACAATGCGCTGACTTTAATATTCAAAATTTTTAATAGGTATAACAGAACAAGTTAGATGTATAATTTATTTATATTCATACAATATAAAAACGCCAGAAGGCTCCAGCCCCCTTTCTTAATGCTTATATTGTGAAACAATTTGATCGTCAGATTTAATTTAAAGTTTTTCTGATTTGATCTGAAGTTTTGTCTTTGAACCATTTTGTTTATTTAAATAAAAAAGGCATTCAAATTGGATATTATAGTAACACAAAATAAGTCTTTATTTATGTTGTAACATTATTATAAAACAATTAACAGTAAAAATCAACTTTATCTTAGAACACCATTTCCCTCCTAAATAAATAAAACTTATATATAACTTAATAAAATCAAACAGTGCGGTTGAAACCTAAGCTCCACTGAATCTATTCCAATTAGATGGGCCAACAATAAGAGTAAGATAAGAATGCTGCAAGGATATTGAAAATAAGAGTACTATATGATCGTGTATAGAAAATAATTGAACTTGGTCTTACGTTTTGAGCTCTCGGCTGAGTACTTGAGCAGGTGGCACAAGCTGTAAAATCGCTCTGTGGCAATTGATCCTGGCTTTCGATTGCAACCACAAGGAGCTGGAATAGGGAACTCAGCAACCACGGGGAATCCCACACTGCACTTCTTGTTTATAAAACTCTTGCACAGTTCCTCCGTAACGGGTACAAATGCTGGAATGGATTTGAATTTATAAGGTGCATTTTTAATAAATTTTTTTGTATTTACGGGTTTTGCCATCCTTTTTTCGCTGATCGTTTTCCCTGTTCATAAGACATTCGTTCTGGAAACAGCGGCATAAACAATCCTGTAAGGCCCATTGATAATTCCGATAGTATATATTGCAATCACAGGCGCTCGATGGAGTTGGTGTAACTGTCGTAGGCTCAGTCGAAGGCTCCGTTTCCGATTCCGGATCTGGATCGGATTCAGATTCTGGGTCAGGATCAGTTTCCGGATCAGGATCAGTTTCCGGTTCCGATTCCGGATCTGGATCAGTCTCTGTTTCAGTTTCAGATTCCGATTCCGATTCCGGATCAGGCTCAGGCTCAGGATCAGGATCAACGACCCTGTGGGCATTGGAGAACCTCAAAACTCCCATCAACAAAAGAATCAATTTAAAATTCAACATATCTCCAAAGTGAAGAAAAATATTTAACTGGCCCTCTTAACCCACCTTTTCGGCTATTTATATTAAATTAACTCCCTCGTTTTGGCAGTTGTCTTAAACCAGTTGGTTGGCCTAGTGCAACCAAATTAAACAGACTTAAGTTCCAAAAATGTTTGCAGAACGTGCGCTTTTAGCTGCACGCGAATCTGTGTTTGCCTAACCTTGACTTACCGAAATATTCAGTAGGAAATTTCCTACTCAAGATATTTATATAAACTTATGTACTTCTGTAAAACAGACCCCCAAAAACAGACTGTTTCAAAATCAATTCGACTAAAATAACAACCATTTTATGACAAAAATGTAGTACAATTTTTAGTGCTAATACATTTTTCGTATTTGTTTTATTTAACATGAATCCTTCGAGTTCCTCTTTCGCCTGTTACTTGTTAACACTTTGAATAGCTGATGTATGCTGAAATATAAAATATTAGCGATTAATATATTATATTTAAAGCAAACGTTTATATATTTACGTTGAGAGCATTCAGCAGAATATTTTTGCAGTTCACACAGATTTTTGAACTTTTTAATTTCCAGGGATCCCTGTTTGCCATTGCATCCGCAAGGAGATGGAACCGGGAACTTGGCCACTACAGGTCATCCAAGGAAACACTTATTCTTTATAAACTTTTTGCAGACCTTCTCTGAGACGGGAATAAGAGCTTTTTTTTTTTTTTTTTTTTTTTTTTTTTTTTAAATAACAAATAAGTTTTATTTACGTCGATCAGCCAACCTAATGGCTATAATACGTAGAGCATAACAAAGAACAGATAACACGAAAACAATAACAGGAGATGTACAGTAACAATTACTGTTTCAGGACTCGGGAAACCATGCGTCCTCTTGTCCAGAGGTCGCCGGGGTGTCTCCGTTTCAGTCTTCTTCGGATAGCTTGATTACGTAGAGACGTTGCTAGGTGGTTTGGGTGCGCTATGAGGCGATCGCTGTAACGACTCGAGTGTCGGTTGATCTGCTCTCTAATGGAGGGAATGTGGAGATCATTTGCTAGGGCGTCGTTTCGAACGTACCAAGGCGCGTTTGCCATCATGCGTAGCGCTCGGTTTTGGGTTCTCTGCACTTTCATGACGTTAGTGTCAGAAGCCATGCCCCATATCTGAATGCAATATGTAATCGAGGGCATCACGATCGATTTATACAGCAACACTTTGTTGCCAAGGCTGAGCTTGCTCGTTGGCTTAAGCAACCAGTTCAACTTCCTGAGTTTACTCCGACATGTAGCTGTTATTTTCTTGGTGTGTTCTTTCCAGGTGAGCCGCTTATCTAGGATCAGTCCCAGATACTGCGCCTGGGGTGACTGTGGGATGGTGACGTCGTGAAGTTCGACTCTGGGTAGGACCTTTTCTCTCAAAGTAAAGTTGCAATGTTGCGACTTCCTGCCATTTATGGCAATATTCCACCTGTTAGCCCACTTGCCATACGAGTCCAGAAATTCCTGGGTGATCCTTGATGCCTCGATTCGGCAGGAAGAGTTCACAAGAAAGGCAGTATCGTCAGCATATGTGGCCAAAAGTGTGCCCGGTTCAACAGAACTTGGCAGGTCTGATGTGAACAATAAGAGCTAAATAGATAAAATTGAAAAAGAATTCTTAATTTAAACTCTATAAATTTATGAATAGTCTTACGTGTCTTGCCAGCCTTTTCCCTTGCATCACTTTCTTGAGCCAAAAGACAACCATTTTGTAGGACCCTGCAGATGCAATCCTCGAGGGCCCATGCGTGCTCCCTCCAATACAAATTGCACTTGGTAGTCAGATCCACAGGCTTTGGGGGCTCCATGAAGATTGTGGCCTGGGTTACTCCCACTAACGTGGCTAAAACAAGGATTAACTTGGTCATCTTTAAAGGATAAGGATCTTGAACTACTGAGCAGCTACTGATGATTATCTCGGCTGCTGGATAGCTTTTTATATTACCCACAGAGATATAAACGTTGTTTGCCTAGATGTATTAATAGTACCGAATTTATTGATAAGCTGGTAACCAAAAATATATTAAAACGTATTGCGGTTAAATTGTTTGCTTACCTCGTAGGAAAATTCTGTTAAAATCTTCAGGTCAACTATATTTAGCTAACTCTGACAACTTTCGTTTAATGATCCTTCACAGGTCAGTAACCAGTTCAACTGGTTTTCAAACCCCAAAAAGGCTCATAAAATATGCCCGAAAAAGAAGGAAAAACCAACATAAAATGCTGTGGCGTGAATACGTGTTCAACTTTCCGGTTCTGATGTTGGTAAATAATTACACGCAGTTGTCATTAGCTCATTAGAAGAGTCGAGAAGGCAAAGTGGCGGGAAAACAGATAAAACAAAGGCAAACAACTCAATTAACCCTTTTCCGCCAAACCCCAAATGGCTGGATTATGATGATGCTGCTTGTGCTGCTTAGTACGAGTGTATGATAATATAATAAAATAATAAACGAAACGAAAAGTGTCGTGAGAGGGGCAAATCCTGACGGATTTCGTATGTAATTACTTCAATTAAACCATCTGTGACAATTGCCGCAGCCGAACATGAAATTCAACTTTACTTTTGAAATTCCCAATTGAGTTGAGGCGCATTATCCTGGCAAGCAACCGCATTTAACTCCCTCCCCTTATTTTTCCAGGACAACCAACAACCCCCAGGAGCGCCGCGTATTTTTACCTTTGACTTACCTTTGCCTCGACGGCTCCCCGCTTTTAATGGGGTGACATTTATGGCACTTTATCAACTCGGGAGTCAATAATACCAGCCAAGTATCTTAAATGTGGCTTAAAACGCACACGCACAGAAGCAGACACCCGAGGAGGGAAAAGCGTAAGATAAAATGAAAAGCGGCCGAAGGAAAATTGCAATGCGATAAAAATAAAATTTTAAAATTTATGCCGCTTATTGTCAATTCCCGGCAACAGTAACTCAAGACTTTGGGGGAAAGCTAATGCTTTTCAGCTTTGTTTAAGGCGAATAATTGGGGGATAAGTATGCAGATTACATTTAAAGAAAAAAATCAGGGGATAACAAATATTTTAAATGTGCAAAATATAAGGAAAGAATTTTGAATATTTTTATAATTTAATTTTGACATTCATTTTCCAAGACCAAAAATCTGATTAATTTGAGATATTTGTTTTTATTAAAACCCATAAAAATCATTACTTTAAGATACTTAAACTCAGAGCTATGCGAATTGATTGTTTTTCTCTCTGTTCATCTCTATAGACCGTTCCTGATGGAAGTCCCCAAGTTTGTTATGACAACTGAGAGACATTTGAATCGAGCAATTGGGGGGAGGAAACTCTAGCAGGGCATTAGTCGAATGGATCCCCCAGGATTAGCCAATGAGAGTGGATTTTCCCGCGCCGAAACCACCCGCATCTCGCCGCTTTTCCGCATTGTCTTTAGACTGCTGACAGCTTGTGGCCTAGGGAATTTCCGCGCTGAGAAAAGTTTTGCGTAATTAGGAGTATAATTTGCGAGGCAAGTCGGCTTTTTGCCGCTGACAACTTGATTACGTTTCAACAACATTGTAAAAGTTAATTGCCAGCGCAGCCTTAAAGCCTGATGAGCATTTATCACCCCGCGGAGCAACCATCGTCAAAAAAAAAAAACCCAACAAAACTTGACTCCTCGCGTGTTATGCAAAAACCAGGCGAACCAAAAAGACACGGAAAAAGTGAGGCATTCATTAGGCCCGACACGGTGGTGCGGTGGTGCGGTGGCGAGGTGGCTCGGCGGTTCGGTGGTGCCAGGGTGGAGCGTCTTGTTACCACATTTTTCAATTATAGCACATTTCCTGCCCTCGGTTCACGTGTGTGTTTCGCTTTCGGTGAGGGAAGCCCCCTTGATGAAGAGTTATTGCATTTTAATTTGCCAGCCGCTGCGAAATGTGCCAAAAAACAACATTGTTTGTTGTAAATGCGCAGGTGGCTCGGCAATCTCTTATCGGAATTTCTTATCGCGGCTTTGCGAGAAAATACAAAGCGACGAATTCCTGCTCTAATGAAGCCCACGGTTCAGAGGTCAACGGCGATGCAGCTAATTAGCCGCCGCTTCATTAAAATAAGTGTACAACTAAAAAATACAAAAAGGTTATATGTACTGAGAAAAAATTAAATTCACAGAATAAAATAATATTAATACAAAATAGTAATGAATTAGCGAAGCCAAGGAATAAAGTTTTAAATATTCAAGGTTGCTTTAAGAAGATTTGAATAAAAGATGACTGAATTTGTTAGATGTTGTATTTTTTATAACCAGTAAATTGATTTCTTTAAATATTAAAACCTCTTTTTCTCAGTGCACCGAAGACGAGCTCGCCGGAAAGGTCATTTAGCGTGGCCAACAAAAATGTATTGTTAAAACCGCTAATGAATTATTTACTGCTCGTTTGGCCGTCCTCTAGGCCGAACTCCTGAAAGGTCAGGAAGGAGAAATGGGGGTTTTAGGGGTTTTAGAAGTCCACGCATAACTCAACCAGTTCACACCCTTAATTAACTACCTGCGTGTTGGTCGAATATTGCGTGTGGCTCTGCGGCGGAAGGAATTGCCTAACCGGAATTATGTTTATTAAGCATTTAAAAAAGCGTGACTTTATATTGGAGTCTAGGAGCCCTGAAATATCAGCACATTTCAATTACCTGGCCCGCCGATCCCAACGCAAATCAGTCGGTTAAAGTCCCCCGCCGCATCGATCAATCAAGTGCATTTGAATAACATTTTTAATCACTCCGAATTACGCAGCAGAGCGCACATGATGAATCGCATATTCCAGTCGGTCGGGGGATATAAACCACATCCAGAGGGGTATACCCATATATACATACATAACCGTATGTGTTGTGGGAGTACAAACGCATTCACTTGACAATCACTTTCGTTTTATTGCGATTTGCCAGCCCAGACACCAACAACAAAACGGCAGGCAAAGCGAGCAATTTCCACTTGGGATAACTTGTGAGCAATTGCAATTGCTGGCGGAGCCAGGGCCATATAGCTAAAGCTATACCCATGGCTATATATCCGAAGACAATGAGCTGTGCCAACCAAATTGTTGTGGTGCAAAAATGCGGCATATGTGCCTGGCAGAGAGGCAATCGACGCCGGCAAGGAGCAACTGCAATTTGCGGCTTGAGGCATGAGGCATGAGGCAACAGGATCCAGGCATCAACAACGAAACGATTTACCAAGAAAATGAAAATTTATTGTCAGTAAATGAAAGAAAGCTCTCATTTTCCTCCCTTCAGTTCGGTTCGTTTCAGTTGAGCCCAGTTGGTAGTGTTCGCTGGCAATCAAGGTGCTTCTTTGTTGGCCAAAAGGCAACTATTCGCATTGCGTCTTCTTACTTGCCTTTCCAGCAAAGAGTGCAACAATTGCAGCAGTCTAGTCCTCTATCGCCCACTGCCATTGTTTCACCAAACGCTCTCGGTTTGCGGCTCAAAGGGGTTCTAAGCAAGTTGCACTTAGTTGGAAAAAATGGGGTCATACGAAAGAGTTTTATGAGGTACAACAAGTTCTTTCCAATCATATAGTTAGAGATATAAATATTTTTTTGTTAATTACGAGGACATTAAGAATTGGATTTTATAAATTATTCATTCAATTTTCGTATAAAAAAATATATATATTTTTATTTAGTTAGACTTAAAATACGAAAGACCAGCTTATTGTGGTCTTTTTCACAACAAGATTTAAGCACACTAAATTAACTCCACAAACATTATCCAACAATAACCAACTTATTTTCCTTGCAGACTGGTTAAGCATGTGGCTTAGCACTGCTAGTCTTGGCTAATGGAGATGTTGGCCAGAAATGATAATGGCCAAAACATTTAATGCACGTTATTGCCAAACCAAAATAGCAATTTGAAGCTACGCGCTGGCTGGATTTGGCCAAGTCCTCGGAACCAGGCTAATGCAGTGAAATATTTATTGAAATTGTGTGCTCCCCGGGGGGCAATGCGGCATTGTCTGCTATTAGCCGGGAATTGGGGGTCGACGAGTGGTCCTTAGCCCGAAAGTTGGGGAGGGGAATTGGATTTAGTGATGGGGGTTATCTTGGCCGAGGGTTGGAACTCGTCGGAGCCGCTATTTACGAGTCTCTGCTTGGCACTTTCGGCATTATTGCCCGGCCAAATGTTTTCGCCCCGATGCATAAATATCCCGGATTCGGGAGTAGGGCCAAAACTTTTCGCACGCCACTGCCACTCACTTGCTTATAAATTACGCACATTAGTGCAATTAACAGCAACAAAAGCTGGCCGAAAAGGTCTCGATTATTCACCTGAAAGAGGCTGCGAACTCTTGAACTTCGGAGCTCACAAACTCTCTCACGCTAAGGGCACTGAAAAAAAAACAAACCTTGAAATACAACATATAATCGATGATAACTAAATTATAAAACCGTAACCATTAAAACGAAAAAAAACGTTAAATAAATAGTACAATTATTTATGATATGTATTTTATTTAAATAACTAATGATTTTTAATGTAATCACTTGTATTATTTTTGTTCTATAGGGGTGTCTGAAATATTACCTTCTCTAAATTTCAGTGCAGTTCTTTTTTTTCAAGTGTTCTCCACTCGAGTGGCACTTGAACTGGCAAAAAGCATATGTACCCTCTTGTTGCAGCCAAATCTGGGTAAATATTTGTAGCAATTATGCAAGCGGAAGTCGATACGGATATGGATACTTGTGGCTATAACCCCTAACCCCTCTGTATATGTACGTATTTTTTTTCCCAACTCAACACGTGCCGCAAATGCATGACAACATAATTATCGCACGCTCGTGGGCGCGTGTCTGAAAAGAGGGGGCGGGGCTGGTTGGGTATTTTCCACTTGAGTTTTTCC